CACCGTCCACTGTCTTCTTCATGGCGTGATTTGATCTTGCTGAGCAAACTTGAGTGGTCTCCATTCATACAGAAGGACTCAGCACATTGGGGAGGTTTTCCCTCATGAATACCATCAGAACAGACAGATTCAGTGTGGAAGACTCAGCCATAAAACACATCTCAGGCAGATGCAGGCCAGAGCTAACGAGCGTGAGCATTTGAAGCTCCACAAACACTCTCCTCGGCTCAAATAGAGCATTTTAATCACAACACAATCTCATCGGCTCCTGCAGGAAGATCCCAAATCAAGATTACCACTCTGAAAAATTGTTTAATTTCTTCTTGCTAAACTCACCTCCCTTTTGGCCATAAAGAAGAATTAGACCTTGGCAGTGGTCTGCATAAGTATATGCAATTAAAGAGCATGAAAACACCCAAAATCTCAATTTCAGGGGAATTAGGGATGAGGATCACAAATAAATGTCATTTCAGCTGCTTGTATCTCTTTCTTCTGGTCCTGATCTGAATCTCATAACCATAGAAGAGGGATGGAACATGGCTGGACCTGTAAATTGAGAGATTTGCCTTCTGGCTTAGCTGTTTTAAAACAAATGTTACTTTTTGTAAATCATCCCTTGTAAAGAAAACAGTAGAAAATTGTCTCCAAACACTGTAGACACATTTATTCTAGTTCAGTGGACAATATCAAACATGTTGATGAAGTTCTTAGCTCTAAATCCCTCTCACATAAAGCATTTTTACTCCTGACAGTTTCAATCTTCAAGGAAACAAGGTGGAGCTGGCCGCGCCCACTTATCCCTCGCATAGACTGCTATAGGCTGAGAAGCTCGAATATCGACCAAAAGCTAAATGATAAAAATAGGCCTTCAGCACCAACTTAAACTGAACAAGTGACAGAGCCTGCCTTACATGTAAGCAGAGCGTATTCCAGAGTTTGGGGGCAGCAAATGAGAAGGCCTGCTCCCCATGATACGTAAGGTATGAGCAAGAGGGAATTGGACCATTCAGGGCTTTATAAACAAAGAAAAAAAAAGACCTTGAAGTGTATCCAGTATTGTACACGTAACCAGGATGGGAGTAATGTGACTACATCTGGAAGTGCTTGTTAGGAATTTAGCTGAGGTGTTCTGTACTTTCTGGAGACACTCAATGGAAGCCACTGAGTTGGCGTAGTCCAATCATGGTGAAGTCCAATCTAATGGTGAAATAGAAGCAAACAGTCGGCTCTAAAAATATCTCAAGCTACTTTTTTCAATGACCAACAGCTTGATATTTCAGTAAAATATATTCATCTACTTATTGACTTACTGTGTATGACTCATCATCTAGAATCTTCTGGTGCTAAACTGTAAATGGCAACAGGCATGAAACCCACGGAATGTGTTTGGAAAATTGGCTGTAGTACCCAAATTTGACCACAGGATGATCACTTCCTTCTTGGATAATAAACCTTTTATAATTAGTCAGTTAATTGATATTTGATTAACTTTGGTAAAAAGATTTATTGTATTATTGAGCAGTGCTCAAAATTAAGATTCAGGAGTTGGGTAATCTTCAAAAACTGATTCAGGTTCACAAATGTTGTGTCTGTTGTAATTATTGATGCTTTAGCATGCAAATAAAATCGAAAATATCTAGAAATTGGCCCATAGAATCAGCAGCACATATTGACCATGACCTCTACATATCAGTATCGGTATCGGTATCGGCGGTAGAAAAACCCATATCGGTTGATTTCTAACTCTAACGGTGGGTGGGCTTTGGGTCCATCGTTTTCCGAGAGAAACAAGATAATAAAATAAAAGCCAGCATGAGGATATTCAGCAAATGTACCAGGCAGGTTGGGAGATGCTAAATGTCTGCTAGCTTTGTATTAGCAGCATCTGTGATGGAAGTGATGACTTAAAAACACGACTCTCAATCTGACAGTAAAATCCCTCCAGGGAATCACCAGATGAACTTTACAGGAGCCTTTTCATTAGAGACCTCACGAAGCTGAAAGGTGCACAAACAAAACGATGACCTTTAAATGGACTGGGCCCGGTGATGAGCAGAACTGTCACAATGGCTCCGGTGAGAAAAGCTGACTAACGGTGCAACACTAACAAATGCAGGAACAAAAGCTGGTGGCATTTGGCGGCTCTCCTTTCAGCCATTTATTCTGTGTGAATAATGAATCTACCAGAGAGCAAAAGCACTGGTAGCTGCATGTATTTAGTCAGCAGATTCTAATGGGAGAGCGTGCACACTGCAGCATTGTTTGGAGATTGTTTTTAGCTCATCAAATAATTTTAAGTGACTAAATCCTGCAGTCCTGCAAATTAATAGTAACAATTGTGATAAATATTTACTGATTTTTGCCTTCAGAAGGCAAAAAAGGCAATGGGTTGGATTCAGGCAAAGGCACCAGCAACAAAAGATTTCAAAGGAGGAAATTGATTCTGTGGCCGTCTGATAAATCTCTCTGACCCAGAAACCCAGCAGAGACACTCCAGTGATGGAGATGGAGACAAAAATGAATAAGTCTGTCAGTTCTGGTCACCCAAGCAAAATTATTTACTCGACTTTTATTATAAATGGGGACAAAGTCGAGCATCACTGCTTCAAAGAGAAGTCAACAGAACTTTCATTATAAAAAATAATCAATCTTATCTACAGCGGCTTTGTTTTTCAGTGCAACAAGGATGAATGTTTGGTTTTTATTGGGATTATTTTACATATAAGGGATTATAAATGTAAAAATTCTCATTCAATAATTTGAAAATGTATAAAAGCCATAAAAAGCTCAGAGCCTAATTTAACCTTTATTTTGTTATATATTTCATAATTAGGTATTTTCTTGAAATTACACTGCAAAAATTTATTTCTAAGAAATAAAAAAACATATTTTTTTAAACATTTGACCATATATTTACTTTCAAAAGAAAATAAATTCTTTTTTGATCGTTTGTTACATATGTTGCCACTCCTTAACGCTACAACTAGAAACATTGCATTAAAATAATGTACAAATTCTTAAATATGATCAAAAAGTTCTTGTTTTGAATTTCAAAAAATCTGCAAATGGCATGGCTAGAATTCCAAAAACTAGCAAAAGAATCAAATTTTTGATTTATTTGCCAGTTTTAGGAATGCTAGCCGAACAACTTTTGCTTTTACTTTTGCAGATTTAATTTTATTTTATTTTTGCTCAAAACAAGAACGTTTAGATTACATTTAACAAGACAATGTGTAGTTTTTACCATTTATCTCTGGAAATATACATTGAACTGTTGGTGGCTTTGTAACATATAACCAAAAAAGTGGGTCTAAAAAACATGGGAGTGGGTCTAAGTCTCTTGGAGACGCCATATTAGATGCCATGTTTCCTTATACAGACAAAATGCATTTACTGGTTTGCAACAAGGTGTTACAAAACTTTCACCATTCATAAACGTTAAATGTTTGTATTTTTATAGAGCCTCTTTAGGGTTCTACAACCCCCCAAGGCGCTTCACAACACAATCTGGTGGGGATGAGCTACAATGAAGCTACAGCTGCCCTGGGACATACTGACAGAGGTGAGGCCTGCCAAACACTGATGCCACTGGAGCTAGGATTGGGACAATATTCAGTGTAACTTGTACCAAGTTTTGTAACTTCGAACATGTTTCATCACACGTAACTTTGGATTCGTAACTTGTAACTTCAGTTTTCTAACTTGTAATTCTCAATTTGTACTTGTATTTCTTGTTTTGTAACAGGAAATTTTCATTTTGTACACTAAACTAAAGTTACAAGTTACGAATCCAAAGTTACATGTGATGAAACATGTTCGAAGTTACAAAACGTGGTACAAGTTACGCTGAATATTGTCCCAATCCTAGCTCCATACGCCACCGGTCCCTCCGACCACCACCAGCAGGCAAGGCAGGATGAGTGTCTTGCTGGAGGACACAACAGCAGCATTCTCTGGTGGGAGCCGGGATCGAACCTGCAATTTTCCGATTACTGGAACACCAGCCCTACCTCCTGAGCTACTGCCCTTTATTGTTTTACACATTGACCTATCCGCTCGTTGCCAGTGAGGAAAGGGAGTTTGATGTACTTGTCATTTTGCTGGAGGTTACACTCCCAGGGATGTTTGACCCTAATGGCCCTCCGTTGGTGAGGTCTACTCCAACACTAAAACACTGTTTGCTTGCAACTATTTAGGTATTTACTGCCCCCATCGCCAGGGAAAATACACATCGTCAGAATATTTACTGTACCTTATTTCAAGCAAAGCAAATTTTCTAGAAAATATTTTTTTTCTTTTTATACTAAAAAATAAGATATATGTCAAAGTGTTTTAAACTGTCTTAGAAATCAGTTTTTGCAGTGTAGGCTGCTTATTGGTTGAAATAACCCAGACCAGGAAGTTAAAATTATTTTGTTGATTTATTTCTTTGTATTGTCACACTTTTGTTTTTTTGAATGCACAGCACTTTAATCAACTTCTGTGGTTTTTAAACATTTGTGTTCTTTTCCCCAAAAGAGTTCCAGAAGGTAAAGCATTCCTTTATGATTCTCTGATCCTTGTGTGTGTGTTATGTGTTTTCATTTTCTGCTTTTTGAGATCTAGAGGTTTGAAGTGCAGAAGCATTCAAAATATTGACAAATAACAAGGATTTTTTTTTTTGTCAAACTATTTTATTTGGGAGGAAAAAAGTGTCTGCCATTTTTTTTACAGCTAAGCTTTAGCTTCTTTCCACTCCCTTTGGACAAAGACTTTTCTTCTTTTCTTGGTATTCTTTTAGAACACGTATTATTATGTTTACTGTTTTAAAAAAAATGTATGTCAAAATCTTCATAGTTTTATTTTTTTTACTTTTGTTGTTTTATGTTAAAATAAAAATGAAAATGAAATGAAACAGAGTTGATTTAAAACCAGCAACAGCTGCACACATGGTTTTTCAAAATAAAACTGGAAAACAAGGAGTATTATAATACTCAAGTAATGTGCATAAAAAACATGTATGATGTTACAGCAATCCCAGTTTTTAATGATTTCCGTGTTTACCGGCACTGAAGAAAATCTTTTTTCCTTTACACAAAACGTCTATTTTTCAAAATAAGAGACTTTTAGAGCAACAAAAGACATCCAAACTGCACAAATGACTAATCTCCATGATCGCGTTTGAGATCTGATCTGGTCAACGTCCAGCTGCTCCACAGCCAATGTTCTTCGTGTTATCTCTACAGGAAACACGCCCTCAAACTAATCTAAAGTCCATCGATTTTATGCTTCGGAGCTCTTATTGTCAGCACCTTTAGCATCAGGAAGGTAATTGTACAATGGGTTGGAGAAGGATAGCTTGGCATTGTTCCAGTTCTGTTGTGGACAAACACACACAAACACACACCAATCACATTATGGACACCTACACTGGAAATCAGAGTCTCCGTGTGGACGCCTCACCTCCACCTCTCTCCTCCAGGGGTAGACGCTGATGGAAATCTCACCATCATCGCTCATCTTCAGGTTAGCGTTGAGACGACCAGCTGATGGAAGCTGAAAGAAATAAATGATAAAAGATTATTAATCCTGATGTTTTAAAGCTAAACATCTTTACAATTTATTTTCTAAAAAGAACAAATGCGAAGTAGAAAAGATCATTATAGAGGAGGACATTTGATGTTGGAATTGTTAAAGTTTTATTTTTTAATGAAGCTCTTATAAATGGTTTTTATGGTTACAGTTTAAAAAGTCTGGTCTTACATAACACATTAGCAAAGAATAATTTGACACAATCCTGCAGATTTTCACAGTAAAAGAGTGTTTTTAATTATTGTTTTGTAAATCCTGCACAAGGAAAACTAATATTTCAATTCAGTTCAAAGATACTTTATTAATCCCAGAGGGAAATTAGAGTTTCAGTACACACAATTCTGAGATCAGACATACATACATAGGCATAGACACATGACAAAAATTGGTGACTGTGGTCATTCGCAACCCAAGTCGCGCTACCTTAATAGAGATCAGAGGGTTTATATGAGGATAGGGTCAGGTGGAGGAAAACAAGGCACTTCAGAGTTACCCTCCACAGGGAGGGCAGCTTTGCTATGCAAAAAACACCTCAGACAGAAATGCAACAGACTTCAGACATTACACAACATAAGTGTCCACTAGGTGGGGAGGTAGGGCTGGGGACTCTCCTCACATCAGTGCATGCAGCCGCGATAAGCAGCGCTCGTCACCTCCGTTTGGACAGGGGAGGAAGTTAGTTGGGTTTAGAGAGCACAGTGACTCCTGGAAACGGTTCCACGACCTTCACCGGTCTCAGTCCCGCCCAGGCTGGGATAGGGAGACAGAGTTGCCATGGCGATGGCAGCATTCCACATTTCTTCTGAGGGGGAGTAATCTCTTCAGCCTCACAGGCTCAAGGACACCAGTTTCAGATAAGGACTTGTTTTGGGGCCAGACAGAGATAATTTCCTCTCTGTCTTAAAGTTCTGTTGGTCTCCAACCCCTCTCGATCCAATAATGGCGTAAATTAATATTTTCCCAACCGTGCTGTCCCGTCAACTCTCTTTGATGGAATCCACCTTCTGTGCCAGAGCCTGAATCTCAGCCAAAGTTCCAAGCTTACGACTCATCTCGACAATTATATGAGTTTGTGCGTTCACAGCGTGGTGCAATCCATCTGAGCTCCGGGATTGAGCCAATATTCCTCGAAAGCTCATTAATTTTCCAGTAAGCCAGGTAACCGCTCAGGCCAAACAGCAAGAAACCTGACACCAACACAACAAATATCCAGACGTCTTCAGAATCCTCTACAGACAGTTGAGAGAGGCAGATCAGGTTCCACTGTTTCCAGGAGTCCATGATATACCCAGCTGGCTCTGTCCCAGAGGGGCATATGGGAGCCCCTTTTCCCGTTCTCATCGATTAAAAAATTTTGTCGATTGCGTTGAGAGACCAACTGACCAGATCCATTTTAATAATTTCAAGTTTCCAGAAAAAATGCAGAAGCTCCGTGCACCCAAAGACAGACAAAGAGCCTTGGGATAAGATAGGGAGGAGAGGAGGAAAAAAGCGTCTGTACTCTCCAAGAACCGGAAGAAAAGTTCCGTTTGTGGATTTGATGTAAGGCATCTCAGTGGCTTCATACTATATTTATTTGATGATAATAAATCCAATTAAAAGTCTTTGTGCATATGAGAGTGTGTGTTTGCAGGCTTGTGTTTTGCTCATTTTTCATTTTCTCTACCCTAATGTGGTCCTCTAAACACCCAAAGCCACAGAACAGCTGTTGTACCAAAGGAACAGCTGTGATTTTACCAGCTTCGGTGCAGGATCTTTCTCGTGACAGCAGGAACAACTACAGAGATCATAACTGCAGTAAACAAAGAACACGGCAGGTGAACAGTAAGCAGAGCACCTGTGTGATTTATTCAGTCCCAGAGTGGCGAGCAAACCACCTTAGATGCATCTCCTTGTTTTTGTTCACTCTGCATTTAAATAAAAAGAACTAAAAGTAAGTTTTATTTTATGTTTTTGCATTTGATGAAATCATTTTTGGATGCACAGGAAAAGCATTGCTAAACTGCACACACATGCACGTGAGTGCACATTATGCAGAAATCAATAACACTAAATTAAAAATCTAATCTAGCAGAAAGGATTCGGGATCACCTCCTGACCTCCTCTCATGTTGGATCCACTTATTGAAGAAGGGTGAAAATTTTAGAGGCAAAATTAAATTTGTGTGGCAAAGAAACTCAATGTAATGCTAAATGAATTCACTAATGATTGATGGGAGGACATTTCTGTACACTGACCTCTGCTCTCCAGTCTGGGTTATCCATCACCCCGTATTTCCCTGGACTGATGTCTCTGTGGAGCCAGAAAACATGCTTACGGTTACCGTCATCATGCACCACGTCAGAAGCAGCAAAACAGCCAAAACTCACACAAAGTTGCATCTTTTCTTGCATAAAGCAAGAAAACACACAGAGATTCCAGCTATGAGCAGCAGCAACCCGATACCGATACCGGCGTAAACGGAATCTAAACAAGAGGGTGATTTTTAATTCATGAAGGAGAATGAGGTGATTAAATCAAGATGGGACAGTTTAATGAAGACCGTTACTTTTAATTATTTTTCATTACCCAGCTGTGTATCTGCTAGAGTTGGTGATAAGGTGGTGATAGATGGTTTTTCCTTCACGTGGCAACGGTTTCCTGTCCATCCTGGTAAACATCTGCAGTCAAGCACAAAAATACAGACTTATGTGTGTTAAAGGGAAGGTGGAAGACACAATAAGACAGCTAATCTTTATCTGTAAAGAAGGGAAATACATAGATGTTTATTAAAGACCAAAACCGAATAATTAGATTTGTTCAGGACTTCTTCAAATTGGATTAGGACCAGACTAACGATCAGGGCGAACCATCAGATCGGCTCACAAAGCTCATTAATCATCACCGTATTTCTATGAATATCCTACACACACCTAATGGCACCATGTTCCGAGCCCCAACCTGGAACAGCGTTCTCTGACTGCATCTGGATGCAGCTACATGCTAAATGATCATGCTACGCTAGCATGAAGATGAGTGTGTGGTGCGTGGTTGGTCGGGCATAGGGCTAATGTTGATTACCAGACAAATGAGACTCTGATGTCTAACCTAAGAGCAGAAACCTACATAATAATACTTTTATAATATTTAACATCCTTTAGACCTTAAGTGACTTCACTGTAGAAGATACACTCACATTAAAGTATCATTCCAGAGTTTTCCCCTTTCAGAAATTATGTGACTTTTCCATGTTACTGTGATGTAATGTAAGCAACACGTCTTTAATTTTTTATTTTTTGCTAAGCACGCCTCCTGTACCTGCAGAAACTAAGCGCCAATAGGGAGCCTATGTCTACTTCCGCATCATGGGTCCCCGGAAGCACGAAAAAATGAATGCAAGTCAATGGGGCTAAAAATGCTATTTTCTAATCCGCGTTGCCTTACACCCTGGATCGCACATATGTTGTTGTACTGCAATTTAAATGAAAAGTAATGATGGGTGTTTCGACCATGCCAGTCACGTACTTTGAGATTTATTAGCTTGTACAAGTTTGTAATTAGCATGACTACAAACTAGAAATCGGCATGTCACATATGTGAGGTCACCACATAATCTCCTCTCCCCAAACTAGCTGCTACTAACCAAATGACCAGGGCTCTCATTTATAAAACATTGTGTCGAATCCTTACTAAAACTTTACTTAAGCTCGGCAAAAAAACAAACAAAAAAATGTATTTACGCCAAGTAGGTTTGTGACCTATAAAACAGGGAGTACGCACAGCTTCACACAATCTCCACTTTATAAATCAGAAACTTTCTAGGAATGTGCTCAGCTGTTTTTTAATCACATTCCTCCCTCAACACGCCCACTTTCTGCCATAAGTGGTCAATGCAAAGTGCCTTGTGGATCTCATGCATATACATAAGCCAGCTCACTGCAGCACTCCACCATTAATGATGGCGACCGCAGATCAAGGAAGCGCAATTTCACTGAAGCAGAAGTTGAGGTACTTGTGGGTGAGGTGGAAAAATGAAAGGAAGTGATTTTGCAAAACAAATATGAGAAAAGCTGCGGAGTGGCACAGAGTTGCTGAAGCCGTCAATGCTGTGAGCTCTTCAAAGAGATCTGTGGCGGATGTAAAAAAAATGGCCCAATTGGGATTTGATCCCCAGATTCCCAAGCGAGAGTCTCACGTGCTAACCAGTCAGCCAAACTGACATCTCCCTGGCTAAGTAGCCAGAGCGCATGATCAATTGGGTCCATCAGTGACAGGAGGGGGTGGGGGTGGGGGGCTTGTTTTGTGTGTGCTGCAGGATTTCATAATTTTGTCCTTCTCAGCAGCAGCACTGCAGGTGCTCTCCATGTCCAAAATGTGCGTAAGCCAGGTCCTTAGTCAACTTAAAGTTGCGCAGATTTTTCCGCTACGTTTTCTTTTATAAATCACAAAGTTTGCGTGGAAAGTTCCTTACGCAGTTTTCTGACCCCTTTTTGAGCGTAAGCAAGCTTTATAAATGAGGCCCCAGATTTATGGTGATTCTTTCCTCCTCTGGGAAGTTTGCTGAACTTACAGCCCTTTTCCCTCATTTTCTCCGTGTCTAGTTCAATGACTTCACTTTCGTGAAGCGCGTTTGTAGTCCTGGACTTATTTTTACACAAAACCTAAAATAGCGTTTCCCCCTGTTCGAAAATAAGCGCGTTCTTGGTATCAAAAATTGTCTTTAAAATTCACGGACATTGTATGTGAAATCCATGTCACAAAACAAGGGGAATAAGAAAAGAGTTTTAAGCCCCGTTGACTTGCATTCATTTTTTTGTTTTTCCGGGAACACATGGTCCAGAAGTGACTTAGGCTCCCTATAGCATTAGACTACCGCTTAAATGCTTCAAATTTAAGGAATACCTCGGCTGATGCAGAGTTGATGAACTTTTCACGGACAAGTAAGTCTCTAAAATATAAATATATGAGAACACAACATGACATGAGAATAATACTTGTAAAACAATGTGTTTTAGCTCTGTTTGTCGGCTACAGAAGCACATAAATAAACAAAAAAACGTGAAGTCGCCATCTTAAAAAAACGGAAGGAGAAATTATTTGTGTGGTATGCTTTCTGCCACTAGAAGGTGCCATCGGATAAGAGAAATACTCCGGAAAGAGCCGTTAATAATAAGCCACCAAAACCTTCAAAACAACCGTGAAGAGGAGCAATCTGTTGATTTTTATCCTTGGTTAAGTTTAATTGAAACTAGAACTTGTATTTTTATTATGTTCTTTCAGGAAATGACAAGAAAATAAATATTTGAGGAACTTTTATAAAAGAGGAAACGCAATTGGGTTCTGTGTCCTAAAATCCTCCGGACCAGTGGGTCATTAGTTCTGGTTTTGATTCCTGGCAGAGTTTATTCAGAAAGTTTGGACAAAAATAATGAAATGAATAAAATGATAAAAACAGAAACATATTTGAGTGCTCAAATACATTCGAACCCTCTCTAATTTGAAAATTGGTGTGACTGATCTGTTGGACATCCCGTTTGGAAGATAATTTAAATGGTTTGGGCCCATTTGGTAATTTACATCTCTGGGAATTGAATGAAAAGAGCTCCTTTTCTCCCAAACGGAGACTTGGCTCCAAGTCGACATCTGTTCAGTATCAAGTTGATTTCAGAGACAGTCTGACCCTCTAATGTGAAACACACAGCTTTCAGAGAACAGTCTCATTCTCATTCAGAAGGGTTCGTATTGTGTGAGTCCAGCTGTTGTGGCGGGCTCTTCTTGGAGGAGCATGATGCAAATACTGAGCCCGAGGTTTCCTCTCAGTGAGGCTGGATCAGATTTAGGAGCCTCATAACACACGGAGCAGGGAACGAAGGTGAATTCTTTTGAAAAAAAAAGAGAGGAGGCAACATCAAAACGGGAATGTTGGAAAGAGGAAGCAAACTCAAGAGCCTGAAGAAGACAGTGTGTATTTTTCCTGGCGATAGGAGGCAGTAGATACCTAAATCTTTGCAAGTAAGCTGTATTTTTAGGTTGGAGTAAGACCTTACCAACGGATGCTCATTCGGGTCAAAAAGCCCTGGGGAGTGCAAACTTTAGCAAAATAAGCACATCAGACTCCCTTTCATCACTGGCAGCAAGTGAAGAGGTAAATGTGTAAAACAAAAACATTTAAGAATGATGAGAGTTTTGTAACTGTTACAAATCACAAAATGCATTTTGTTCACATGGGCTCCCGTAGAAGGAAACATGGCGTCTAATATGACGTCACCCAGAGACTTAGGACCAATCCCAATACTCGCACTTGCACCCTTGCGCCCTTCAACTGCGCGTTCCCGGTCAGGGGTGCGAGTGCATAATTGCGGAAGTTGACCACGCCCCATTGCACCCTTAGTCTGCACTTCACCCAAGTCCGCAGCGATGCGGACCTCGGGCAAGGGTAATTCCCATAAGTCATTGCTGCAGAAGGAAAGGCTTTTCAAGTTCTTTTTCTGAAAATATGTATTTTCTAATGAAATTAGTTTACTTTAGGATGATTAGTTGATGCTCTAAAACTTTCAGACAAAGCAGCAATAAATGTAAATTTATTTCAAATTGGTTGTTTGTTTAAAAGTTGTTAATAAAGGTTTTTGAAAAAGGTATCACAGCGACCAGCATCCCAGCATGCGTTGCGATCGATGATGCGATGCTCCCTGTCTCAATTCTGCAATTATTTGCACACTTGTGTACTACGCAGTCGAAACCTTACAGTGCACTTTCTCCAAGTGCATTTTGCTGAAGTCCGCAGGGCGTAGTGCGAGTAGAGATTGGGTCTTAGACCCACTCCCATGTATTTTAGATCTGATTTTTATGGCTATTTGTTACACAGCCCCCAATATTTTTCAACAACTGGGCATCATTTCATTTATTTTCAACAACATTTTAATGGATATTTCCAGAAACTAATGGTAAAAACAACACATTGTCTCTTTAAAAATGCAACAAAGTGTTATTTTCTTTCTGCTGCTGATATTTTCACATCTCTCTGTTTGACTGACAGCAGCTGGCCGGCTGAGCCGTGGCTCGGGAATTAGAGACAGAATAAACAAATGTGCGACATTAACCACACGTCAGGAGCAGAAGTCTGTTTGTCAGAAAGTAACACAGTTTGAACAACTAAAACGATATTTGCAAACACAACGGAACCCAATTATAAAAGAGAGATAACGGAAGACCTTTATGCAAATATGTATTTTAATAAGAAGCAGTCTGACTAACAGCGTGGAAACAAATATGCAGGAAAGCACAAAACAGAGCAGCTAAATTGGCTAAGGACATAAATGCGCCGCTGATTCAGTGTGCAGATACTCATGAGACCTGGTGAGTTTTTCTGCAGATCGCAGCCCTCTTGACAGAAAAATGGAGGAATGTAAATTTCTCTGAGAATTCACTGATGCATAATGATGTTAGCAGACCCTGCTGCAAGACCCATAATTTCATTCTTACTATTGTAATGAAATCTCTGACTGTAGATGCTCCAACCTGCTGATGCAGACAACTGAATATATGAGCTTAATAATGATCAAAACAAATAAACCTCCAGCAAAGAGAGCGCAGATTCGTTCTCTAATGTGTTTTTTTGAAATGTAAAAATGTTAAAGATTCATCTGAAACGTGAAGCTTTTGTTGCTCCAGGTTTAAATACTGAACCAGGAGAACCAAGGGGAACTTTATCCTCGTGGATGAATGAAGGCAGAAACACCGTGTTTAATCTAGAGGGGATAAGCACATTCCCACATCTTCTTTAAGAAAGGAAAGAAGCAAGACTGATTGGATTTCCATGTTTGAAGTTTCACAAAGAAAGATAAAGATTGTCAGGGCGAGTAGGGAAAAAACAGACACCATTCTCATATTTGTGTTTGTGGGTTCGTTTCAGCTTACCTACAAACCGGCCCGTGTACCCCTACAAGGCAGACACCGAGGTTCAGGCAATACCTCGGTGGGCATCCTGCAAAAAAGGGCAAATAAAGTAATCATCATTTATTATTGGTCCTCATTTTCCTCCTTGTCTGAAAGGGAGAAAGGTGAAATCAGGTTACACATATATGTGCAAGTGGTTGGACCAAAATAGATTTTGTTCTGCAGGTCGGTCTAGCCACGGTCCATTGTAGCCTCAGCAGGTCTACCACTGGCTTGGCTCAGTGTAGGCCCAGCCAATCACAGTGCTGTTTGTTTAGAGACTTGGGTGGGCTTAGCACTATTACGACAGAGCTTCTGTTTTGTTTTTTAAAGTAATACTAGATCGTGTTTCAAACAATAAGCTAAAGTTTTAGCATTGATCTCAGTGTTTACTGTGTAAAGTCCCTTGAGACGACTCTTGTCATGATTTGGTGCTATATAAATAAACTTGAATTAAATTTAATTGAATTTAGTTGAACTGAATTCCGGATTCATCCAAATTGATTCCGGAACTGCGCTGCACTGGGTGGCTGCATGTTGGAGTAGCTTTGTTGATTATATGTAAGTGTTGCCTTTTCTTGGACATTTTTTCTTCTAGTTTCTCAAGAAAAATTGTATTTTTTTGGACATTTTACTTTTCTGTTTCTGGTGCTGTGAAGCTTAGAGGATTTTTACTGCTATTTTTTCCCTTTTTTCCCTTTTTGAGCATTTGTTATGATGCATAACCATGGCAACAAGCTGGTTTACAATCGGGAGCAGCTGATTAACATTGGAAAGGCTGAAATAATACCTCAACTGAAGCCACAAATCCCAAATGAGCTAAAACGCAAGAAGCGTGGGTGCAGAGCGGGAGCAAAATGGAGACAGAGAAAGAGGAAATTCAAACCATCTCTTCCATCGATCATAATGGGCAATGTGAGATCACTAGCCAACAAGATGGAGGAACTCCAAGCCCTTTCAAGGACTCTGCCAGACTTTCGGCAGTGCAGTGTTATGTGTTTCACTGAGACGTGGCTGCAGGGCCATATCCCCAATTCCAGCGTCTCTCTGCCAGGATTCCTAATTGTACGAGCAGACAGAGATCTGAAGAGGAGCGGGAAAAGAAAAGGAGGTGGAGTGGAAGTGCTTGTCAACAACAGATGGTGCCATCCAGGTCATGTTTCAGTGAAATGTTGTCTCTGCAGCCCAGATGTTGAACTCTTGGCAGTAAGTTGTCGCCCATATTATTTGCCAAGAGAGTTCACCAGTGTTGTCTTGGCAACTGTTTATATTCCACCTTCAGCCATTGCTGAAAATGCATGTGATGCCATCAGTTCCGGTATCGCTAAGCTACAAACCCAGCACCCCAATGCATTTGTGGCTATATCTGGTGATTTTAATCATGCCTCGCTCTCTGCTACACTTCCAACATTTCAACAGTTTGTCAGCTGCTCCACCAGAGAAAACAAGACATTGGATTTGTGTTATGCAAATGTAAAGAATGCATACATGTCCAAAACAAGACCTCCTCTGGGACAATCAGATCACAATCTTGTTTTTCTCTGCTCGGAATACAAACCACTTGTTCAGAGGCAACCTGTGACAAGAAGAACTGTGAGAAAATGGTCACAGGACGCTGAAGAAGCCCTGCAGGGTTGTTTTGAGACCATAGATTGGATGACTCTCTGCCAAGTATATGAAGAGGACATCAATGCCATGACTGGATGTGCCACTGACTATATAAACCTCTGTGTGGACAACATCATACCCACCAGAACAGTGAGATACTTCGCTAATAACAAACCCTGGATCTCCAGTAAACTGAAGAATCTGCTAAATGAGAAAAAAAGAGCCTTCAAGGAGGGAGACAAAGAATTATTGAGGAGTATCAAGGCACAAAAGAGGACTCAAATGCAGAGCTCACACTGTTTAATAAACTTAAAAGGGTCCCTGGCCTGTACAGCACAACTGAACAAGTCCAAAACTAACTAAATACACTTTCACAAAATGTTACAGAGAGCAGGTTCACTTTACTCAACAGATGAAGACAAACTGGCAAAGGAATCTGTTTGCAAAGAAGCATAAATGGAGAAGCCAGGACACAGGTGGAAGACATAAGGCTGATTAGTGAGGAGCCTCAGGTCGTGAAGCTGCCTGCAATAAGACAGGAAATGAATTCACAAAATAAAACAGGAAGAACCAGAAATACAATAAAACCAAAAACCTGACTGCAAAGCACTCAACCTACAGAACCACCCATGACAAGGAGTATACAGAAGCAACTGAAGATCAAGATCAGAGACAGCAAGGAGGCATACAGGAAGAAGCTGGAGAACAAACTACAGAGGAACAATATCAGAGATGTCTTGTCAGGGATGAAGAAGATCACAGGCTTCAAGCAGAGGAAGGATTGCACAGATGGCAGCCTGGACACAGCCAATGAACTGAACAAGTTCTTCAGTAGGTTCAGTTCAGGAACAAACCCAGCATCCTCCTCACTTGTCCCCAGAGAAACAGACATCCCATCCTCCTCTGATCCAACATTTTCCTGTCACATGCCAGCTCTTTTGTTCTCTAACGCAGCCATGGACTCTTCTGGTTCTATAAATCTGTCTTCAACCAAGTCAGGAGATGCTGCTGCCCTATTTGCCTCTCCCTCCCACCTATCTGTTTCTAGAAGTCAGGTGAAGAGGCAGCTGGAGAGACTGAACAGGAACAAGGCTGCAGGTCCAGATGGTGTCAGCCCCAGAGAACTGAAGGCTTGTGCAGAGCAGCTCTGTGGGATTCTGAAGCACCTCTTCAACCTCAGCCTGGTCCAGGAGAAGGTTCCAGTCCTGGGAAAGACATCCTGCCTTGTTCCAGTTCCAAAGAAAACTCGCCCATCAGTCAATGACGACTACAGACCAGTTGCCCTGACATCCCACATCATGAAGTTCCTGGAGAGACTCGTTTTGGTCCACCTGAATAAGCAAACTAGAACACATCAGGACCCGCTGCAATTTGCTTATCGCCATGGAGTTGGAGTTGAAGATGCCATCATCCAGCTGCTTCAACCAACCCACTGTCATCTGGACGAAGCAGGCAGCACTGTGAGGGTCATGTTCTTTGATTTCTCCAGTGCATTTAACACAATTCAGCCTGATGTACTTTGCCAGAAACTCCAGAAGACACAGGTGGGGACCTCAACTATCACCTGGATTAAAGACTACCTGACAAACAGACCACAGTTTGTGAGGCTGAAGAACTGCACATCAAACCAGGCGATCAGTAACATTGGAGCACCACAGGGGACTGTTCTCTCACCATTCCTTTTCACCCTGCACACCTCAGACTTCCAGTACAAATCAGAGACCTGTCATCTACAGAAATACTCAGATGACTCTGCAGTTGTTGGGTGTATCAGAGATGGACAGGAAGCTGAGTACAGAGAGCTGGTGGAGCGCTTTGTGGCGTGGTGTGGAAACAATCATCTGAACTTGAACGTGAACAAAACAAAGGAGATGATTTTAGACTTCATAAGAAACTGGGTGGAGTCAAACACTGTTTCCATCATGGGAGAAGAAGTGGAGGTAGTTGAGGAATACAAATACAAATACCTTGGAGTTCACCTGGACAACAGACTGGACTGGTGAAAGAACAGCGAAGCCGTTTACAAGAAGGGACACAGCAGACTGCACTTCTTGAGGACGCTTAGGTCCTTCGATATCTGTAGCAAGATGCTGCAGATCTTCTACAAGTCTGTTGTTGAGAGTGTAATCTCTTCAGCCATCATCTGTTGGGGCAGTAGCATCAGAAGCAGGGACCTGAAAAGGCTCAACAGCCTAATAAAAAAGGCTGGTTCTGTTCTGGGGACGACTGTGGAACCACTGGAGGAGATAATGTAAAGAAGGATTCTCCAGAGAATCAAGAAAATGATGGACAACCCTGAGCATTCTCTTCACAAGACTGCCCGACAGCGGAAGAGTGTCTTCAGTCAGAGGCTTCTTCAGTTTTGCTGCAACACTGACCGCTACTGGAGATCCTTCCTGCCAACAGCCATTGTAATATCAAATAACTCTTTGACGACTTGATTATTATTATTATTATTATTATTATTATTATTATTATTCTGAGCTACTACAGCAATCAGTCGCCTCTGTCAGTGCGCCCCAGTGCAGCTGTGGCTACATCGTAGCTCATCAAGTGTGGGTCGTTTATCATTTATCATATATCAATTTCTCTCTGGGATTAATAAAGTATTTTTGAATTGAATTGAATTGGTTGCTGACTTACAAACTTGACAAATTTTATATTTGACACTTCTGTGCAGCTCTCTGCTGACCAAAAACTGCACTTGATAGTTTTGTGGAGCGGGTAGGTGCTAGGGGTTAGCATGTTCAGTTCGTCGGTTGTCGATAGAAAGCACAACAAGAAGAAAAAGACTTGTGCTTTTTCTATGGGCATTATGGCAGATCCTGGAAGTAAAAGTAAGAGAGGAATGTCAGTGGAGGAGAAGCAAAGAGCTAAATCCACAGTGAACAACAGCACGGCCTACACTAGTTTGAGGAAGCTACAGAAAGCAACAAAATCACGGACTGAATGTGACCTGGCTTTGTTGCTACTTGTGAGTAATAATATTTTTATATAACAGTGTGGATCTTTTAACATTGTGGTTTAGTTTACTATTAGTTGGCTCATTTGAATGTTAGCTCGTTGTTAGCACTAGCTACAGTAAGCTGCAGCAGGGTTGTTTGTGACAGTTGTAATTCCACTTTCAACCAGTAGGGCAGAGAAACAGGAACCTGCTCTGTGTTACTTTAAGACAGCGGCACAGTTTCATCTGAGCAAAAGTACAAAGATGGCGTCGGCTCAGCAACGAAGCCCTTTTGAAACGGCTTTGGGATCAACTGAACAAATTAGATTTATGCTTTTCTTTGAGACATGAGCAGATAGATATTTTAAGTCCTTTATTGTGAAAAATCATTTGTTTTCTTCTTATTATTATTATTGTATGTATCGTCATGTGAAAACCTGACAGCTTTAAAGATTCTGGGAGAACCTCTCTAACTAAATAGAATCACATCAGTGCAGATTTTATCTAGCTTTGCTAGTCGTCAACGCAGCTAAAAGCCGTGACTAAAGATATGATCCAACATAATATGACATCCAGAGTTAAAGACAACAGATAATCTGCTTAAGTGGTGGAAGAAACAGTTTTATTTGCAGCCGCTGCAGCTTTAGACTCTTTTCATGCTGAAGAATAGATTAAGAACAAATCAAAAGACTGTTTTTTGCTACCTGCTTCATCAGGGATTATATTGAAATTAAGCTTGCTGCTCTGGACTGACTGGGGATGTGATATTTAAAGCTTAAACACTGAAGAGTGCTTTGTTTTTGCAGCCTGGAAATGAGAAGACAGAAGCAACATTTTTGCATCAACTAAAATTAAAAGTGACTGAAGTCTCATGAGCATATGGACACAGGTGAAGAATAAAAGCAACTAACATGATGCAATGTCTGATCCGGATGTCAAACGACAAGCGTCAAAGCTTTTTAATAGGAGACGACATGGAAAGTATTCTAAGCGCACCCGTCATTACGTTCAACGTGCACAAATAGAAGCGTGACATGTTAGGAAATCCCAGAACGCAAAAAGAAACGAAGGTAGGAGCTCGTTACCATGACAACTGGACTCATCAGGGTGGAAGGGCAGGCAGTCAGCAGAGCCGTCACATCTCCTCTGAAGTGGGATACACCCAGGTGAACTTTCACATATGAGCTCTCCCGGCTCACACTGCAGCACGGCTGGGGAACAGATGACGACATAAGAGGACAGCTAAAATCTGAAGCATCAAACTGAAATATTAGAAGGATCAAAGGTACGAGAAACTCTGTGAGGTGATCTTTGTTAATGGGAGATTCTAGCGAACAGCTGTCTGGACAGAGGCTAAAGAAAATCCTATTTACAGGAACATAAAAAGCCTCACATGTTTTTAACTGGTAAAGCCTGAAAAAGTGACCAAAAAGAAAAAGTTTTTGTAAGGTTTGAAATGCAGCTATGGAATTTAACAAAGTACAGTACTTTGTTTCTGTAGTACTTACATTGTATCTGTAATTTAAAGAAAAAAATGCACTTTTTTTAACACATTTGTAGTGGTCTCCAGTATAGACAAATACCTTGTGTGATGATCTATGTGCGGAAAAAAAGCTCTGGCGCGCCTGATTCAGGAAGTAGAATTTACAGCAACATGACTCTACCACTGACTGTTGATGTTTTATCTCCACAAATAACACAAGCCTGAAGGAGTTCTGCCATGTTGTAGAGTTGCTAATGCTAACGGTTAGCTTCTGCGCTCTTCTCTCTCCTGGAAGCTAAATCAACAACAGCCTATGCCGTTGCGAGCCAAGATGGGTGAGTTCACGAATGATAACTTTCATTGCGATGCAGATCTGCATTGCTTTTCTAATCCAAGCGTTTCCCCGTCTATTTTACATCAGCGGCCTATTTAATTTTACTCTAAAAAGTTCCAAATGTAATAGTACTTCAATTTTAATTTTGCCACCCTCCACCTCAGTCTGACAACAAACTTCTACCTAACAACACAAATTTAAATGTTAGGTGAATTCTTTTACTTGTAAGTACATTTGAAAATGCACACTTTAATACTTTTACTCAAGTATTTCTTCCACTTTTATTTAACCTTTTACTTTTACTTTTACTTACCCCTTTATCTGCACTAATCAAGTACCACGATTAATGAAAATAAAAACATTTTGTCATCAAAGTGAGAAATCTAGATTTCAACACAAAATTCAACAGGATGGCATATCTATGGAGATGAACATGACTTTTTAAGCAAGTTTTCCTTTTTGTAAGACTAGATGAAGACACAATTCTGAGTTTTTCTTTATGTTTGCCAATGAAAACACTTGAATGAACTTACGACAGCCGTGTTCGTCCTCTCCATCAGCACAGTCAAAGACTCTATCGCAGCGCAGTACAGAGGGGACGCACCGGAGATCGGAACACTGATAAAACCCAACAGGACAGTGATCCTGAGGGGGAAGAGTTCCAGGTACTCTAGTCGGGCAGCGCTCTTCATCAGATCCATCTGCACAATCCAGCTCTCCATCACACCACCAGCTCTTTGGGATGCACTGGAAGTAGAAGGCACACTGGAACTGGTCCACGCTGCAGGTCAGGGGCTGTGGGGTTACTGGTCCTGAAGTGGAGATGCACAAGGTCTATCAGAGCAGCCAGAGGAGTAATCTTAACAATTTTCATTTCTTCAGAAGAAGAGAGTGGACCAATGTTCTATTCCTAGAAGGTTTGGGCAAAACCGCAGGAAAAGAGAGTGTTGGAGAACAGAAAATGATGGAAAACAAATGGGAAACTGTAGTAATCGAAGTGGAAACTGTAGGATAATTATGGAAGTGTGTGGAAATAAATAGCAGAAAAGTAAAAAATAAATAAATAAAAGGAAAGTTGAATAATTTTACCTCCAACGGTACATTCTGCTGTGTAGGAGATGTCATCCAGGGCGATGTCTGTCCACATGTCTCCACCCACCTCCGCCTGAAACGTCACTCTGAATGGCAGCGTGTTGGACAAGATGATGTTGGCGTAGGTCCACTGGTTGTCATGGTTTCCAGTCGTTGCCCACATCAGCAAACGTGTACCACTGGATCCAACGGTATAAACCTAATAGGTTTCAAGGTGAGGGTTAGAATCCAGTTTATTACAGAAGTATAATATCAAGTAACCCAATAATACCTCAAACAGAGCAAGAAATAGGTTCCTTTAAAAGATTTGCATCTTCTACTTGGGTAAAAGTGGAGCTAAACTTAAACACACTTATACTTTTTCATTTTCTCTGTCTTTATTGTTGTCTTCAAATGCAGTCCTACCCTACTTTTCTGCCAGTGGCATCATCTTCCTGCCCCCTAAACGCATTTACCATCAGTCACTCTTCATTCCTTTGACACGTTATGTTCTCTGTGCACTTTACCTGGGTTTGATCTCTGCTAACTCAACTGTAAACAGATCTTTTTCCCTTCTGGCTGAGTCTTTCATGGTCACTAGGAGCAGAATTTTACCAGCCTGCTTTCCATTTGAGTCAAGCGTGAAGAGGAGGTCTTTCTGCACACCTGCATCTCACTCAGGTAACAACTTATATTTGCATGTAATCAGTAGGGGTGGTATTCAGCCTCAAGAGAAAAAAACAACTAAAATAATAATAAAACTGTTAAGAAATAAACAAAAACAAGAGAGCCAGAACCAGCATAAAAAGAAGAAGCTAGTGAGGAAGAAGCGGATTAACAGCTAAACTGTGACCTAATACATTTATTGTGCACACCAGGGAGCATACATCTGTTGTGATATCAAATAATTTACATCACCATATGAAATGGTTTTATTTTATTATTTTTTTTTTCATTTTCAAATTTTGAGCATTTTTAAAGGATTTGCAGAACAAACTTCGTTAGTGGCGCCCCAAGGGGTGTCTGAGGGGGACCATGGGCACCCCACTGGTCCCCCCAGGGAATACCACACCCTACATACTGTACATCACATTCATGCTAATAAAAAAAACATACAATCATTTTCTTTAGTCAAGATATAAACGTTAGAGCACCCCTCCAAAGTACTTTAGTAAAACGTTGATAAATAATTATTTTAGTACATCAGTTTACATAATCATACCCAAGTTTAAACCCCAAAGGTTTGTGTGGATGTTTTTTTTAAACAGCAACAAATTTAAGTGTTATAAATTCTAAAGAACTGTTCCAATCCTAAGTACATATCAAAGCAAATTCTTGGATGTGTACTAGCTCTGCCCGTTGCATCAAGGATGCATCTTTCTGAGGACTTGGGACTGCAAACTATCCCACAATGCATTGCGTTGCAAACCGTTATACTCCGAACAGCAGAGAAAGCTCATAACTGTAGTTTTATATCGGAAATGCAAACAAAGAAAAATAAAGTTGTCTGTTACTGTGAATAATTGTGTGTAACCTGTGAAATTTGCTGTGTATTTCATTTTATTTTTTCAGACTTGTCATGGTGCCTCAAAGTGCTAATTAGCTAAATCACTATCAAAATAAAAGCAGCTTTGTTTTGATGGAAAAGAAGCTTTATTCTTCATTTAAAAGCAGAAATGCTGGTATTTTATCAGTTTTGATCAAAAGTGAACCAAATATAAACCTCTATATTAATAAATGTCAGACTTTTATTGTTGTTGTGTCATTTTGAGAACTGTAGCAACAAGCCATGATGCAACGGAGTACGGCTCTGCTCCAAACGTTGTCCTCATCCTCTCATTCTCGGTAGAAGGAACTTTCTGCTGTACTTGCCAAGAACATACTTGTCAAGTACACAAGAACGTGCCAGCATACTTGGGTACTGAGACACGACTAATATGAAATAAGAGTTGACTGTTTAGCACTGCCAGAACAAATGCAGCTTGTAGGGTCTCGCAATCCATGAGGGATCCATTTTGCGCAAGAGGACGCATTTCTGCAAATGTGCAAAGGAAGCACATCACTGCTGTGAGCCCCCCCATGAAAGATTTCCTGGGGTGCCACTGCTCAAAAGTGGTTTTGGACACCTGTAACCCTTCTGAGTCAGAAAGTGGGAGAAATATGCGACACCGTGGGAGGCGTTTGTGACCAGACTGCAAATAAAACTAATCATGACACTTTGGTTTTTAGAACTGATGCTAAATGTTCTGAAATGCTTCCAATGCACCATGTGACCTGGTCATTTCTATTAGTTTTCTAGCAAAAGTCTAGAAAGTTCTCATTGATTTTGATAATGTAGCTGCTGTTAGAGACTTTTAACACCCCGGTGTGTGTGTGTGTGTGTGTGTGTGTGTGTGTGTGTGTGTGTGTGTGTGTGTGTGTGTGTGTGTGTGTGTGTGTGTGTGTGTGTGTGTGTGTGTGTGCAACACATTTCATTAAATTGTTCATATCAAGGACGTTCAAAACTAAAATGTAAGTTTAAATGTTGTAGGACATTTTAGGGTCATTGATCATTAAAAATTCGCTCCAGTTGGGAGATTTTCAAGTCCCTCATTACGACTGTGGAGAAAACATTCCCGTCTAATTCTTTCTTTTTTTAATTGGATCATTGTTCTGAAATTACTCCAGTAAAGCATCTAAAAACAGACATAAATAGATTAGTTAATCAGGTCTGTGAGGTGAGCCGCTTCGAGGATTTATTTGCAGACACACCGGCTTTCGAATCCTCCTGGGGCTTTTTGCTGATTGACAGTAAACATTGTGCAAAGCGGTGACAGAGTGAGTCAAATTTCTGACAAGTCCAAATTAAGCCCTCAGGTTGGTTTACGATAGATCAGCTGATAACAGAAAAACAAAACATCACAGGCTGATGAAACGTGGAAAAGGAGGGTCATCTCTGGAAACGAGTCACCTTTAGCGTTCCCATCCTGTCAGAGCCATGCATGAAGAACCAGAAGCGCAGGTGACACAAACCAGTGCTGGCAGGAAACGGATTTATGGTCGTCACCTTGGCAACATCGCCCTCCCTCTGAGAGGCCGAGTGTACATACAGGAAGTTCCCCTCGCCACCTATGGGGACAAACACGGGCAAGACGTGTTGATGTGAGACATGACGGAAACATTTCACAGCCATGAGTGATGAAGCTGTAAAAGTAAAAGAAAAATCAGAGCTTTAATGGTGGGAAAGACATTTAATAACTCTTCCACATTAAATGTAACCAGAAGAGGATGGTAGTGGAACGGCCTCCAGCCAAACACATCTTAGCTAGACTCGGAGATGAAACGGCATCTGTGCAAAGCTAAACCAAAGTGGGAGTTTTCCACATGAGTTAGGAGGAATTATCACACAGCTTCCCACCACAACTCCGGATTCCTCTACAAAACAACGAGATGGAAGCAGATTCCTGTAAACAGTGTAACCAAAGAACAGCTGTTGATCCTTGGTGTTAACACCATCGGATAATGTAACTACAGACTATTTCTTTGTGTGTGTGTGTGTGTGTGTGTGTGTGTGTGTGTGTGTGTGTGTGTGTGTGTGTGTGAGAGAGAGAGAGAGAGAGAGAGAGAGAGCGCGTTATACAGATGGTCAGGTTCATTGATCTGCTCAGTGAATGGATCATAACTCCTTCCAGCAGCGAATGGCCACATTCATCCCTCTGATCAGTAAACTCAACGAGCCAATAAGAAGCAACCACACTGTCGGCCAACACAAAGAGGAGTTACAGCTGTGTTTTCAAAGGGAGACAGATGCACCGTCGCCCATAAAGGAACACAGTTCTGTCCTCAGCTTTACGATCAGTCAGCTAAAAGGGGAAAGGTGATTCACAACGTCCTTAAAACGTCCAGGGGAATCACACGCAGTCAGGAATGATTTAGTATGCCTGCAGAAAAATATATCTAATGCATGAATTAAAAAGTGCAACTAAAATTATTCTTTTGATGAAAAAAATAACTCATAAAAACTGAAGAAAGAGTTTTAAAAGAAATTCTTTAAAGTGACAATGTGTAGTTTTTACCATTAATCTCTGGAAATATCCATCAAAATGTAGTTGTAAATGAGTTAAAAGATGCCCAGTTATTGAAAAATATTGGCAGTTTCATAACATATAACCATAAAAATCTGTTCTACAGGGCGACGCCATATTGGATGCCATGTTTCCTCCAACAGAAGCCCGTGAGGACAAAATGCATTCACTGATTTGTAACAAATGGTTACAAAACTTTCATCATTAATAAACGCTGTTTTACTCATTTACCTCTTCACTCATTGCCAGTGATGAAAGGGAATCTGATGTTCTTGTTTTCTGCTAGAGGTTGCGCTTTCAGGGATTTTTGACCCTAATGGCCATCTGCTGGTAAGGTCTTACTCGAGCACAAAAATGCTGCTTGATTGCAAACATTTAGAAAAGTGCTGCCCCCCATCGCCAGGGAAGATACATGCTGTCACTGTAAGAAATGAACAATCCAGCTAGAAGAAATAGAAAAATTGAAATTTGAAAACTAAAATCAGTTAAAATAGGTTTTTCTAATTGTTCTCTCCTTAAACTAATCAGACACTTTCACACTGTTTAAAGCAGCAATACTGATTACATACCCTGTACTGTGGTATAATATAGAGTAGACCACATGTCTTTTTTGCTGACCACCATCATCATCATCATACATGTGTGTGTGTGTATATATATATAAAACAATTGCATTTTGTTCATTTTTACAATAAAGCACCAACAAACAAAGAAATGGTTATATCTGCAGACAACGTGAACAAGTCCAGTGTTTTGCGGCTAATTTAAACCCATGCTGATGTTTATTTGGCTGATGTCATTAACCCTTCTGTCACACATTGCTGTGAACTTCCTGTTTACCTGCTGTCACCTACAGAAGCTCCACACGGAGCTGAAAACAGAAGATGTCACAGAGATGCAGATGCTGCTTGTTCTTAATTCTGGGAAATGATTTATCTGACAGCACTATTAATATTTCACCATAGCTGCATGGACTGTTCACTTGCTGTTCACTCAGTGATTTCCTTCTGAAGTTGGTCTATGGAGAGGAAATCAAAGAGGACGGTGGTGAGAAACAGCAGGGCTTTTGCTTGTTCTTCTGAGCAAGTTCTGTGTCAAACCTTTTATTTTGTGGAGCGATTTGGAGATTTTTCCTGAGCAAAAACAGATTTTTTGTTCATTATTGAGTCAGCAGCAAAGCGCATGCAGACCTGGACTGTGGTCTGATGAAGGTCCGGCTCCTGGTGTCTCCGTTTTGTGATCGAACCTCCAATCGAAGTCATCATCAGAGTCCTGAATGATCTGGCACCTCTCCTCCCAGCTGTCCTTCACGTTGAAGTCACAAGCACCGGGTGAGTCGTAAATGAAGTCTGCAAGAGAAAAAAACAATCACAATACGTGTGGATTGGAAGTTTTGCTGATGTGATGGGTTTGGTCTGATCTGAACTCACCGCAGTCCATCTCATCAGATTCATCAGCACAGTCGGCGTGACTGTCACACACCAGGTGGGACTCGACGCAGCCGCCGCCGTGACACACAAAGTCAGTGACAGCAGGACAGCCGCCCGGCTCCACTTGACCTGAAACACACATGAGTGTTAAACACACTGAAAACACGGATCGTCTAATGAAGAAGACCTTATGTAATTTAATTAAATGTAAAATTTCCATGTATAGCACAAAAAAGATAACTTTTTAAGGTGACCTTAACTATTTTAATAAATAACGGTTGTGATTTAACAAAAATTAGTTCACCCTTACATTGCAGTTTCAGATTGTGATTACCAGGGCAAATAAAAAAAATAAAAAATATGTCGGGGGGGGGGGGGGGGGGGTACTGGGTGCATGCAGCTTCCTTCTTTTTTCCTCTTCAGCCCAAATGAAGCACAAACGACACACTGAGCCGTTGCTGTCCCCTGGCAAATTATTAAAAACTCCTAAAAATGGGATTTGGGTTCACCAAGGATGCTTAGTGTAGGTTTACATTTATTACATTTGATGTCAGTTAAAAAGTTTTGTTAAATGCATTTTAGTTGAATCTCATATAAAAGTTTTAGCTGGTGTTTACTAGGGCCAAGAATTGTTTTTTTGAGTGAAGCTCCTCTATTTCAGGACAAAAACATCGGTCCAGTTTTCACTTAAGGTGAAACCGCAGGAGCAAAAACTCATCAGGACAGTCAAAGCAATCAGAAACTGCATGCATAAATCTACGTTACGCTCATCTGTGCAGATGTTTGTGCAACGTCAACAGCAGAGACGTGTAAAAAACCTAGGAGGCTGTCTGGGGTAAAACCATTTCTGAGGGAACTGAAAACCCATTTTAGCATCATTTGAAGTCGATTGAGGTCATGTGTGTCTCTGTAATGGTTTGTTTGTCATGCACACACACACACACTTGACTGCGGGTCAGTATTTATCTGTAAGTGTGTTCAGATCTGTCTCGGACATAAACACCAACTAGAATCTGTCAGCGAGTAATTCACACAGGAAGGACCACCAGGTTTTCCCCCAGTGGACAACTCACACCTCAAACTATCAGCTGGAAAAATCTGGACAAAACTCCACAGCATCATCCCACAGAAAATATGAGGAATATCGAAATAAATGATTTTTAACACTACTCTCATTTATTTGCACCTGCAAAGTATAATAAGAATAATATAAAAGTACATTTTGGTAGTACAGTACCACTTTGGAAGTACAGTTTGAAATGTTAATGAATGAATGAATGCCACCTGACAAAAAGAAGAAGCTATGAGAATGACTCGTATTCTCTCAGAGTTTATGTGCAAATGTTTCCAGAACTAAAGCGACTGGTCACTTCAGGGGGACGGATTTCAGCTCCAAGGTTACAATCAAGGCAGAAAAATATGAAGTTTCTCGCAAAACATTCAACTCAGCAACATTTTTTATGGTTTTAAAAAGTCATAGATTCAATTTTAAGAGGTACATTTTGCAATGTCCCTTTAAAGTTAATTGGTTTCTGCTAATAAAATGTGTGTTTGTTGAGGGAAAAAAAATTATAATTTCAATTCTTGGTGCCCCAGGTGCCCAGTGCATGATGGGAAATGTCTGCATTTGACTGGATATTATGGCTCAGATCAGAATGTCACATAAAATATAGATCTGGAGAGTTTTTGTTTCAATTTGTCAGGTTTACAAAACATAACAGAATTTAAGAACCTGTTTGCAATGGTGCCCCCAAGGGGTGGCCAGGGATGGCCAGGGGTGGCCCTGGCCCCCACCTAGGAAATTGCTGCCCCCCCCCCCCCCCCCAGCAAATGCCACTGGTAATAAATCATATTAATGTTCACTCAAATCATAAATTGATATTATTTATTCAAGATATAATTGTAAAACAAAATAAAAATAATACAATTAATTAGTAAAGAAATAATCAAAATGAAAAAAATAATACACATGTTTCTGCTGCTTACCATTTAAAAAAAGTTTTTATCCATAATTTTTTGTGAACACAGCAATAGGTGAATTAAACAAAAAACTGTTTTATTTTGAAGTAACATTTTAAAGGACAAATGTATTTTTCTAAAAATTTTGTGTTTGTAAAATTTAAGTTAAATGTTTTAGATACGTACTGATTTAAAAAAAAAATAAAAATTAATAAAGCAGCAATGGAATATATCCCCACAAGATAAACTCTCCCAGAGTTACAACGAGGACCAATTTGGTGTGCCACCCCAAAAAAATTCTTTGGCCCCATTTGGCCACCTGCATCAAATTTTTTCTGGAGGCACCCCTGCCTGTTTGATATAGAATCATTAAGAGACGTGTACCGCCTACCTGGACTACAGTCGATGAACTCCAGGTCGTCCAGCGCTGCTCCTCCGCTCACGTCCATCGATCGAATCCCCTCAAAGATCACCTCAAACCTCCTCAGGTTCCTCAGAGGGACTTCTGCTCGGTTCCACTTGTTTCCCTGGTGCCCCGTTTTGTTCCACATCTCCATTAAGCTGTTCTCCGTCTGCGAGGAGGAGATGACAAAAAAGAAGAGACAATCATGTGGCGTCACTGTTGTGGATTTAACAAATGGTTTCAACGCTGTAGCGACGATTACTGTCAGGGATTCATCCTTCAAACCCACAGTCACGTGTCATCATGGAATACTGTTTGGGAAAACCGAGGTGAAAGTAACTTTGCGAATTCCATCCAAAAGAAGTCATTCAAACCTCATTAATGTTACATGGTTGTAATAATTTCATTGCCTTGAGCTCTACTAATGGGTTTCTCCCGTACCACATGTGGACCATATGAACAGGCAAATCTGAACGTAGTCTTCTGTAAGCCCTCTGCTTTTCTTCCCATCATGCATCTCAAGCTCTAAATCACAATTAATACAGCAAATGTGACTTTAAAAAGGGACTTTGTGGATGTATTTTTTTATGAGGCAGTACTTCCCCTGTGCTTTTTATGTCACATAAAGAGCATCAGTGAGACATTTACAGAGACACCATGTTCTAAAGACCTCCAGCATGAACCTGGAAGATGAAGGAAACCTTTCTGCAGCAATTATTTTGTACACATCAGTGTTTGTGATTACAGATCATACCCTGTAATCTGCTGAATCGATTTTCTTATTGCCTTTATTACCGAACATCCTCTTTAATGAGGACATGATGTGATAGTCTTCACAAATAGTTTGTCTTGTCAATATATTTCTGAGCGGCTTTGATCCAAAACAACTCAAATATTAGCCAACTTTAGAAGTTTGGGTAATAATTAGCCACACTCTGGCAATAATTGTTAACTGACAACTGGGTCTTTTTAGGCCTGTTTCAACTACCAGAACATCCGGGTTATTTTCCGGACCTTTACAGTGTGTGCTTGTCTGTTTTTTTCCCCCATGTCCTGCCCGCCTGTAAAGCATTCAGAATTGGTGTCTGAGTGCCGAAGACAAGTCTTACAGTTTTACTCTCACAGGTGCAGCAGTGCAGCTCCAGCTATAACGCCTCACCTGATACCAACATTTTATTATGGATGTTGTCAGTTGTTTTACAGCCCAACAGACATAGAGATGAGCTTGAAAGCGAACGGGGGAGAGGAAAGGAAGAGGTGGCAGAAAAAATTCACAAAAATAAACAATGAAGGATGTGCAAGAATCTGGTTCTAGACCTGCAGAAAAAGTGGGAGAGACAAAAGGGACACAAAAATACAGAATCAAAATATCACTGCATCAACAACATGAGGAGATTAAAAAGTGACATTTTTTGCTGAAAAACACACGGGAATAATTCTTGTTGCATTTATCCCTAGATTATGTGTCAAAAACACCGGGTCCATACTCGTGAGAGCACCATGTGAGCACTTGTGTGCGTACACGTGCTTGTGTATGTAAGGTTTCGCTATAGTGAGCCTGAGTCACGCTCACCTACTTCCGGATCACGAGTACCCAGAAGAACGAAAAAATGAATGCAAGTCAACGGCGCTAAAAATGCTATTTTCTAATTCCGCTTGTTTTGTGCCATGGATTTCACATATGATGTCCGTGAATTTTAAAGACACATTTTGATACCAAGAACGTGTTTATTTTCAAATGGGGGGAAACACTATTTTAGGTTTTGTGTGCAAATAAGTCCAGGACTACAAATGCGCTTCACGGAAGTGACGTCATCAAACTAGACACAGAGAAAACTGAGGGAAAATGGCTGTAAGTTCAGCAAACTTCCCATAGGAGGAAAAAACCACCATAAATCTGGTCATTTGGTTAGTAGCAGCTACTTTGGGGAGAGGAGATTATGTGTTGACGTCACATATGCGACGTGCTGATTTCTAGTTTGTAGTCATGCTAATTATGAACTTTTGTAAGCTGATAAATCTCAAATTAAGGGGCTGGCGTGGTTGAAACACCCATCATTACTTTTCATTTAAATTGCAGTACAACATATGTGTGATCCAGGGCGTAAGGCTAAGCGGATTAGAAAATAGCATTTTTAGCCCCGTTGACTTGCATTCATTTTTTTGTGCTTCCGGGGACCCATGATGCGGAAGTAGACTTAGGCTCCCTATAGGAGAGACTGATAGTGAGTGTGAGGGGCCACAGACCTGCCCCAAAAGACCTGTGGAACATGGAGAACTTCTACCTCCAGAGAGTTTCATAAAAATCATACCTCTGTTTTTAAGGCACTCCTGAAAACACACCTCTTTACCCTGGCTTTTGATAAATTGTGAGATGTTGGTTTCTATTTTTTATTTTATTTTAGCTGTTTTAGGTGATTCAATGCGGTTTTATCAAGTTTTATCAAGTTTTTATTTTTTAATATAGGGCCATTTTAATTTTATGTATCATGTGTTTTATTTATCTTTGCTGTTTTCTGTTTAGTCAATTGTTTTAATGTATTTTCTGTACAGCACTTTGTTCCTGTGCTGGGTCTTTTAAAGTGCTTTATAAATAAAACTGGATTGGATTGGATTGGATCCAGAGTTTTCTCCCGGAGAATTCCCAGGAAGCTCAACACCAGAGCACGAAACACGCTGGTGAATTTCATGAATCTAATATTTTCTGCTATAGTTGTAAAAACCTATAATCTCTGCTAATCTGACTAAGAGCAGGACTGTAATGTTTCGTGATTAATTCAGATTCGGGGAGGGAGAATCAGTTCCAGCTGTGTGAAACTTTGATGACCTCACATCTGACCAAGAGTAAAATCCTTAAGAGATCATGAGATATTACATTTGGTGTGTTTAAAGCAGATGACCAGAGGCTCGACTGCAGCGAGGAGAGTTTTTCTCTTTTGTGCAGAAAACCAGAGGACAGTCAAAGTCAAACCCTGCTCTGTGGTTTGAAAGCCTATTAAAATGCACCCTTGGGTGAGGCTCGTCTCCTCCGCATGTGGAGCCCCGACTTGAAATACCGTAATCTTGTTACTGAGAGAGAAGAGTGCAGATTAATAGTCGGCGTTGCAGCAGGAGTCATCAAGATTTATGTCGTGGAGCGAAAGCTTGATCTATAAAGCGACAGGCCTGAGTGTGATACATTCAGCATATCACTCGATCAGTTTCAGGCTCTTTGTTCAGAAGTCAGATTGCCAAAAGTGATTGTAAACACGTTGCTTTATTTCTTTATGATATGTGAAAAAAATGGCAAAAAGGAAGCTAAATAAAACAAAGTTTGTCACATAAATGCATTACCACTTAGCTAAATTCCCACTTTATTTTATGGCAGCTGTTTTTTCTTCTGATTCACCTTCAGATCAGAGCAATGTTGTGTTCCTCTGCTAAGTTTAAAAAACGACAGAGGACATTACTTAGATTCTTTGTTTATAAATCAAAACCACGCTCTTGTTTTTAGAGTAGTCACGCCACATTTAACGTGAGTAAAACATCCGCTCTATGGCTGAGTGGGAGACGTTTATTTACCATAACTCAAAGCCACATTTGAACCCACAGACCCACAGAGATAAGTGAGCAAACGTGCAAACGACAGTCATCATAACAGCAAGATGATTCATAATGCATCGAAGGGTAAGGAAGAGGGTCTAATTTTACTAAGTATTTCCAAGAGCAAAGTACGGATAATTGTTTAGTTGTGCTTATAGGGAGATTTTAGGTGTGGTTCGCTCATTGAATCAATGCCTTTGGTCTATGGTAGGAATGAACGCCTTGCAAGCCTTGGATCAGCACGAACAACACAGCAGGATTTGGAGTCTTGCTTACTGATATTTGGATAGGCTAACAGGAACACAACTCTACCACTGGTTTGCAACGTTGATGTTTTATTTCCACAAATAAGACAAGCCTGGAGGAGTTCTCCTGTGTGGTGGAGCTGCTAATGCTTATGGTTAGCTTCTGCTAGTCGAGTCATTCTCTGCTGTTTCCTGGACGCTAAACCAAGTCAAGATGGGTGAATCATGAATGTTAAGTGACAGTGTGATGTAGATCAGTCAGGATTTTCAGATCCTAGAGTTTCACTGTCTGTTTTCTATCTGAAACTAATGCAGCACATAGGTGTAGGAGACTGTTTTTATGTTCAGACTGCATGAACAGTTCAGAGTAACCAATCATAATCAGAAAAAAATCATTAAAATCCTTTTTCAGAGTTCTACACCTTTACAAAGGTCAAAATGATTATGATTGTTCTGTATAATTCTCTTTAAGACATAAAACTCTTATTTCCTGCAGATTTTTTACAGATGTAAGGTGTGGATCAACTATTTGGTAGTGGTTTATTGCAGCACGTGTAAAATAAAGAAGCTCAAAGGATCTTTTCTGTCTGGTTCAATAAAAACACATTTCTATGGTTGTTTATATGATAAGTTAATTTTTAGATGATGATTATTTCACCAAAAAAAAAAGCCAAACGACCAGTTTCCTTAAAAAAAATAATGGATTTTGTGTAAAACTGAAATAATATGAAAACATATGGCATTATGTCATTCTTTCTCAATAAAAACAAAAGATCCTAAAAATCATGCAGAATTTTTCACCGAAGCACTTTTTACTAATTGTCTTATCCTTCCTGGTGATCTACAGCTATGCCCTCTCTTAATGTCCATGGTCCAACATTCTTATGAGGCCTAATGTTCTATTTTCTCTTGTGTGAAACAGTCCGCCTACATTAATCATCTGCTTCTCAGAAAGTCACATAATCAATCACAGAGCCACAGGGCCCGACTTAAATACTATTAAAACCCCATCATTTACATTTCTAACATGGTGTCAGAATCCAGATTTAGGATGGGATCAATAGCAATGAGAGTTTATGCAATGAGTGAATTAAAAACAGCACAAATCAATAGAACATCAACGTACACCGGTGTTAGGGTAGGAGTGAGGGAAACACAAGGAGAACACGCTTTACAGAAGGTATTTTGGCCATTTTAAAGTGTTTATGTTTAAAAGTTTCATAAAAATCATAATAACTCAATGCTTCTCAGGATTGATAAGCTAATGGCTAGTCTCAAATCTTTAAAATTTCACATCAAATGAGTAATAATTTGAATATCCAAATTGTAATTACAGATAGCTGGAATATGGCTTTAGTTTTATTTATCTGAAATAATAACAGTTGAATTTGAGTTTACTCTGGTAAGAATTCAGTTTCTACTGCCATAATTCCCAGTCCAGACAGGAAGAATGCGTTTGTGATTAGGAAATGAACCCAATACACATGAATGGGAAATGTGTCATAATTCATTTTAGGAAGAATTCCTATTATGGATATCCTAAATTACAATTTCTACTAGTAACAGCATTGCTGTTGATATTTTCATTTGCAATTTATACTAATAAAAACATATTATTGTTATATAAAAAGGGAATTACAAAGAGGTCCAATTGTTGATTAAATGTTAAAATGGTTTTCCACAGAAGGTCTTGGGACAAAAATCTACCACTTTTCAAACCAACCTGACTTTTAATCTGTGACTTGCACACAGAACTACTCATTACCAGTCCTGTAGCTGGTGTGCATACAGATACAATCCTTTTATTCACATTGCCAGAAGGAGGAACAATTCTGCACTAAACACCTTGACCCCCAGTCACCCTGACAAAGTAAAATGTTGACAGAACACAGACAGCTGAATGAAAACTGAACAACTGCAGAATTCATGTGGTTAGCAGCTGCATTCATCTCCTGAACCACACAGACTTAATGCTTTACAAGCATGAAGCCTTGAAAACTGGCAGGACTGGACTTTATCCATATTCCCTGTGGGACAAATAAAGCTTTTCTGATTTCTGATGTTAGGGTGGGGCTCCTCTCAATGGCCTCCCCACCCCCCCATCCCTCCCCTCCACCCTCTACAACCCCCCAATAGATCTGAGACTGGAGGAAAACTGTCAGCTTCATCCCACTTTCAGACTGAAGGGCAGATATGATGATATGATGGCATATCTGTGAATATTAGCATAATTAAAGATAGTCAGGCTTTAATTCTGATGGCGCGTAACCATAGCAACCATGACTGAAATACAGCAGCTGGTCTCGTAAACTATAATTGACTGAAACAGATTCTTCTTATCACCTCTGTGTACGGATTAAAGTCTTTCATCCGAATCATTTTTACCTTGATCAGCAGCCGTATGGTTCCTGTGGCCTTATGGGAAATGTAGTACCAGAAGGAGAGCTTGCAGATGGCGCTGGACTCTCTCCAAACAGAGCTTTTAATGTGAGCTTTATCACCTTTCAGTCCCACAGGCGTCGCTTCCAGATAGATAAAATGACCTACAGGGGTAGAAAAGAGAAGGGGTGATGGAGGAGGGGAGCAAAGAGATTATTTCTTTTCTCTCTCACTCTTTAGAGTCCCAGACAAATTACAGCAAGGTCAGGAGGAGTGTGTGCTGGAGGAGGTAGGGTCAGGGGGTCGCTGAGTAATCTCAAACATGTCCTTTACTGTGTCACTGGCTTCTGACACAGGGAAGCACTTCAGGTTAGAAAATTAGATCAAAGACTGAGCCTGAGTGGAATCTCAAAGGGAGGATGCTTCCTCTTTTTTAGGATATTCTGGACACAAAATAAATCCAGATTTCTTGTTTTGTATGTGTTTGTCTGTAAGGATTTCACAAACTGAAAGCCCTAGCATGTTTCACTTGCTTGCCTTGGGGCATTTTGTGCATTAAAGAGGCAACAATTCAATCCAAGAGGCCAGAACGGTCTGAGACTCATGCAGCTGCTCTAGATATTCACTCCATCTTTCTTTTATTTATCGACTCATTGATTTTCCAGAAAACACACATAGACACTGACTCCACACAGAAAGATTTGCTGAGATTTCATTTGATGCGAGTAAACAAAGTGTCAATTTGGTTTTATGGCATCCTTAAAAGGAGAACTAGGCAGTTTTGGCTTTCTTTTAGCACCTCCAGTGTCTGTTTGTAGAACCGAAAGTAAAACCTTTCTCTTCACTGCGTTCGTCTTTTTAACACCTTAATCTAACAGCTAAAATGTCTCCCCAGCCTTCATTAGTGTCTACAGGAGTGATTAATCACTAAATTAAACTAATAGGCTGTGCTCATGATGTAAAACCATCAATATACATATATGGACAATGGGTTTCCATAGGCTCCAATAATAAGTTTTTGTACTAAAATGGGAGGTGGCCACCACCGCCATTTTGACCGTGTCACAGGTTCCGTCAAGTCCAGACAATTCCATAAAAGGGAAGAGAGGTGGAGCTGAGGGTGGGGCTGTATGGCTGGGATCAACTGACGACACCCGGTCAAACTAGCTACAAGCTAACCTGAAGCTAACCCAAAGCTAATGCGGAGGTGGGAGCTAAGCTAACGGAGGTAGCAACCTAGCTACAACCGGAGTTAACTGTGCACAACACCAGAGCCTCTGAGTCAGAGATACGCCGGGCTGACCGCTGGGTAAAACCGGGTGGAACACAGACGTCTCCGAGACCTCCACAAGCTGGCAGCCGCACAGCAGACAAGCGCCGCTGCGATCTGAGATGCGCAGAGCTGCCGCTGGGGAGAACCGGGTGGAAAGGTTTCCATCCCAGAGCTCCACAAGCCGGAGACAGGAGCCGCGATCAGACAGAGATGCGCCGAGCTACGGGGAGGCGAGAACGGGTGGAAAACAGAGGTCTCCCGAGAGCTCCACAAGCCAATAGTCGGAACCCAGCTCCACCAACATGTTATATTTCAACCCATTTTCTAAAATGCAGCATTATGTTAAATGCACTGGGTTTTACCCTATTACATTTAAATTTCATGGTTAAACAGTACATGTTAAAATCTAAGCTCAGCTCGGCAGTGACCTAAAATACATAAATATAATTTTACTTACAGAAAAAAATGAAGTGGAGACTCCTTGGATGCTCTTTTAGTGCAATTAATGCCACAGCAAGTCATTTTGTTCAACAATTGCACAAAAAATATCCAAAAAAGAATACACAAACACAGAGACTCAAAATGCCGGAGCAGTTTCCAAGCTAGACCGAGACTCTACTGAGGCCTTTCCCCGGAGCTAGCTCTGTGGTCACGTGGGTCTGATGCTCATTAATTATACAGAATTTTAGGCTTTTAATACACTTAAACAGAAGAGTGAGAAAAAAATGCACCCCCCTCAGAGTTGTCATGAGTGTAAACTAGATGATTGAAACAAAAAACATGTTTTGGTACCAGGCTGTAAACATGTTTATTTCTGCTCTGAAATTGGTATTTTTAACATGGGAGTCAATGAGGATTTGCTCACTTCTGACACCAGCCCCCAGCGGATGAGGGTGGAACTGCAATTTTTGGTACTTCCGGGTTGAGACCAATTTCTAAGCCGCATTGTGGGGGTTTGTGTAAAACATGCAGGAAATGTGCTGGAAGCAGACTGCAGGTATGTCAGCTTCACTTGTCCCAGCAGAGCAACCCACCAGTCTGAAGTTGCAAGTGGAATATTCTGGCCACAGGGGGAAATAGGGGCTGGGTGACCTTTCATTAACCCTGTAAAGGGTCATTTTAGCACATACTGGCTCAAGAAAACAATTTAAAAATATGGAAACGTTCCTAAGTATCCCTTTAAAGTCTCTATTTTGCAAAGTTAATGTTCACAAAATATTTAGTTTCAAATCTCAGGTGATTTGTCTTTTGTGTCTTTTTTAACTGAGAACCAGCAACTTTATAGGGTTAATTTCATTGGTATTGTAAGAATTTTTATTAGAAATTTCCACAAACGCGTTTTCCGAGGACAGCTGCTCCCCACAGGGATGGATCAAAAGTGGAGATTTTCACCAAGTTGTGATGATTTGTTATTTAATCATTTAATAATTTAAGCAAAAACGTTTTTGTTTGTTTCCTGGATTCACAATAAAAGCTTTAAAGGAGACATACTATGCAAAACTCACTTTTAGCATGCGCGGCCATGTGACTCTCTATTGCCTCTATAAACACTCCAAATGTGAAAAAAGGGTTGTCAATCTGTTTTATGTCAGTGTTTGGTTTATGTGCCTAAAACAAGCGGATTCAAAAAGTCCCTGCTTGTGATGTCACAAACGGAGACATTTGCATAACACCAGGCTGGAGAAGTAGTGGCTCTTCTGCAAGCCCCTTCATTTAATCGGAGCTTCTCAGCTTATAGTAGCAGCCTGAGCGGCGATGGGTGGGCGTGGCAAGCTCCTGCATATTTTCTTAAAGTGACAGACACCTGAAACAGCTCATTCTGGAAGGTACTGAAAATGTCCAGGATAAAACAGCTGAAGTTGCTTTATCTGAGAGATTTTTGTAAAGAACATCATGAACAAGTTTGGTATTGGCCACAGAACTAATACAACTAGGGACAAAGTCATAATATATCTTCGTTAAATTGATTAAACACTGCTTGACTTTTATTCTGAAAGTATCAGGCTATTTTGCAGGTTTTCTTTATTGCAAGAAAATTGCAAAATATGACTGAGTCTGATTCCAGTGGAATGGGTCTATCTGATTCCTGCTTTTTTCCATTCAAACACCAGTTAAACTAGAAGAGTTTGCTGAAGCTTAAACCCAGACAGGTGCAGTAATATTCAGGTTCTTGCAATATAATTTATATTTCTGCTAGTTTATTCATACATACAGCTTATTACCATGGATTAGGTTAATGGGATTTCAGTCTTGCATTGATAACCTGCTGTACATCCACATATTGTGAAATAGATCATTGATTTTGTCTGTGCTCTGAATTAAACATTGTGCAGAACCACTGCTGCCGTTTGTTGTGAGACAACTGGATCAGTGTAATTATGGTTCTATCTATGAAGTCTGCCAGAAGTCAATATACAGTCATAGATTTATAAATCAAAACTAAAAGACTTGAAAATAGAGAAAACAATCAGAAAAATATGCTAAATTCAATTAAGAAAGACAAATACCATTTTCGTCCATCAGTGTGTGATCATATGGAGGCCGTATGCTTTGAACTGATCCGGTACGGAGAGCCCAGTCAAAGTTATCAGCCAGTGAGCTCTTCCAACCACAGCGACCGCTTTCGAAAGAGCACGACGTCCCACAATCCTTTTCATCGGTGCCATCTCCACAATCATCTGTGAAGTCACAACTCTGCTCTGGTGTGAAACACCTGCCATTTTCACACCCAACTGTGCCTGCTGGACAAAACCCTGGGAATAGAAAACAAAAGGCTTCAAGCCACTGTGCATGTTTTTATAGCAGGATTTATGAGAAAAACAGTGAACATTTACACATATTTTAACAGCTTTTTTAAAAAGAGAAATTAATCTCAAGGGAAACTAATAACAGATTCAATAACTAAAAAAACGTGTTTTGTCAAACATAGTTTAACAAATCAGGTTTTGTCTTTTAAACCCCAAAGAATAGCCAAATGATAATCCAGGGCATGACTTTGTAACACGCTTTAAATGTTTATTTTACTGGTGATCACACCTTTGCTTGTAAGGTTATTGAATGCATTCCTACAATATTTGGAAGTATTCTTTAGGAATTGTAAAATTTGATGTATTAGTTGGGTTTTTTTTCAGTGTAAGAAACAACATATTGTGTCTCAGCGGATTAAACAGCAACAAGCAATTTTGAATAAAACTCTCAGTCAGCTGAAGAAGAGGGAGCCCCAGCTCACAGCATCACGTTCTCCTTAAGAGGCTTAAAGAGACAAAAGAGCTGTGAGACAAATCAGGGAGCACTGAAGTGTGTGTTTGTGTGTGTGTGTGTGGGTGCGCGCGTGCGTGCGTGCGTGCGTGTGTGCATGCATGTGTGTGTGTATGTTTACCTGGGCCCCTAGTGAAAGGGTCCTGATACTTGATTTTAGAGTTTATTGTGAATAAACGTGTAGTTAATATTAATGGTGAGGGCTAGGTATGCTACGGCAAGTCAATGTCTGGTCCCCACAATGACAGAAAGACAATCATGTGAGTGTGTGTGTCTCGACTGATTTAGGAGCCAAACATTCCTGTGGGGTCAGTGTGTAGCTTTAGGAAGTGTTAGAAAGGAAGAGGGTGGTCTGTAATTAAAGGAGAGAAAGGGGAATAAGTCCTTCTTAATCCTTTGTTCCTCTTTAGGTGCAGAGAACCAGAAGAAATGTGACCAAACAAAAGAACAGAAGAAACCAGGAAGACGCATCTCCAACTGGTGCAGCAGGCAGGATGCATCACTGCAAACTGAAACTCTGGTGGGGATTCGTTTAATAAAAGGTCACTTTTTAAATATTCTCATATCACATACGCCACTTACTTCCTGAATGCTGACTAATGCGCTTCCACTCATTGATTCATATTCTTTACATTGATGCTGAAGTCCAAATGTCCTGATGTACATTGGGAACCACAATGCTCCCTTGTGTCTGGAGATAATTTGAGCCACACCAGACCTTCAGCGCATGCATATGGCTCCATTTCACCAGGCTGGCCCAAAAGGACCATTTTTTGACCATTTCAGGAACGAACAAGGTATTCACTCAGAAAGGCCCAGTAGAGTCACTTGAAGCTACAATGGCAAATTTGCCAACCAAGCTAGCTTAAAACATTTTTTTCATGCATCTTAACAATGTTCTAACATAGTACAGCAATGAATGTTTGTGGAGATTAAAAAAAAAGAAAAATATTAACATTATCATTTGCCCAAAAACCTCTACCAATAACATGGCTCAGCCCGAAATCAGCGACCGGACTATCCAGTTGTCTGTTTCACTGAACCACCACACTTCTGCATTAAGGCTCATTCATAACACGCATGCACATTTTGCAACAAAACACTAGTAAAAATGTTAAAGTCCCATTAGTCATCATACACTGGTGAAATTCATCTCCGCACTTGACCCATTCCTGTGGGGAGCGTAGAGCTGCAGCAGTGGCTGCACCAGGAAACTATTAGGTGGTTTAACCCCCCAGTCCAACCACCTAAAGCTGAGCGTAAAGCAGGGAGGCACTGGGTCCCATTCTTAAACTTTTTGGTATGACCCGACCAGGACTTGAACGCCGATCTCCTAGACCCAGGGAGAACATTCTACCACTAGGCCACTGAGAAGGTGTGCGAGGTTCTCTGCTCCATCAGAGAAGGAGAAACAGCCGGCTGCTTCCACTTCAACTTTAGGACAAACTACCAGAGTCCCAAAAGAAAACCACCATATGAAGTCACAGACAACAAAAGGCGTTTGGACATAGAAAACGGTGACTGGTGTTTAGTGCTTTCTCGTGCACTCGGGCAGTGCGGGTTCCGGGGACTGACAGCTGAAGGGAGGGGATAGATTCCGTGACCATTGCAGCATTAATGGTAACTCATGCTGATTGGTTTTAACTCGGTAGGAAATGATGCCAACAGACATAACCAAACAACCGACATTTGTCTGAAGAAAGGCTGTTTAACTGTGATCACTTTAATAAAAAATGTTATTGTAGCCAAAATTTTCGACGCAAACATATCTGACAGCTTTTAGTGAGTTTCTTCTTCCTCTTACTTTGTAGTACATAAAGTATTTTTTTACCAGTTTAGTAAAAAAGATATTTCCTGTTTGGAAATAACCTTTTTATGCAGTTGCATTTATGCATACACACCTCTGGAAAATAGCATTATGAGCTCTGCAAGCTCACACAAAATCACAGGATTATGTGTGATCTGCCGACGCTTGTGGTATGTGTTGGGAACGACTCTCAGCTGTTACCAAAGGTAAGTTTAGCTCCATATCTGTGAATTTAACAGACTTCCAGACAATTCCATGTTTTTTAAATGACAGCTAGTTGTAACAACCATCTTGATATGAAGTGACTCCTAAAGTTAATCCATTGTACATGAGAAGATGACTTCCTGAGTTTCATAGTAATGCATTAAAGTGTTTGTTGAGATATTTTGCTGCTGCTTGAGAAACACATGCAGAAAGGTGGGCAGTGCATGATAAAACAATACAAAAGCATGAAAATTAGTCATTTTTTTAAACCAGCCATTAGATTTTCCCTGTTTAAAGACTGCAGACACAAACCGTGTGGTGCAGTCGGCCCCATTGACTCGTGATGTGATGGTTTATGGATTAAGGCTGTGGAGGTAAAAGCCCCTGAGGGACGGCATCACGTAATTAAACTTCCTGCCCTTTCTTGTCTCATCGGTTTAACTGAACATCAGCAGCCAGGAAACGCAAAGAGCAGGATTCAGCTACAGGGTTTCATCGTTTAGCTCTAAAACAACCTCTTTTAATGTGGGGGCTGTTACGGCAGTAAATGTGTGTTTACGGTAAACCACGTCATAATGAGGGTGACGTCAGTTATGCGTTGACCTGTAAGGGAAAACATGTGTTGTGCAGTATTGAAGGGAGACTTATAAAAGAGAAGACTGATTGACAGCTCATAGTGTATCTTCTGTAAGGTGACATTGTGTCAGAAGTGGCTGATTGAACTCCCCGCAGGCATGGCGAAGTTCGGACCTCCGGAGGAGTTTGATGTTTCACAGCCGGCGGAGCGGCCGGTTTGGCGCCGGCCACTTCGGTTGATTCTGAGTCGCCTCGGAGCTCGATAAGGAGAGGTACTAGTTAACTATCTTTACGTGTGGCAAGGTGGAGAAACGAGGGCCCGGGCAAGATTTGATCCCCAGACTTCTGGGTGAGAGTCACGCGTGCTAACCAGTCAGCCAAAGGGACATCTCCTTGGCCAAGTAGCCAGGGCGCATGATCAATCGGGACACTGTGACAGGACACACACTGCCACATACGCTTTGGACAGAGACTTTTAGCCAATATGTGAATCCTACAAATATGACGGTGAGGGTTGGGGTTAGAATCAGGGTTAACTGCAAAGTAATACAGAGCGTGCTTTCATAAACGGGCTTAGCTGCCGGGGGAGTCTGTCGAAGCATTTGTTCAGAACTTGAACGAGTCAGTCCACTACTGTGAGTTTGGCATCGCAATGGAAAGCGCATCTAAGACAGGATCGTCACTGGAGTACTGGACACGTTTAAAAAAATCCTAAACTAACTCGTTTTCCAAAGTTTTTGTGTTAGAGCTCTGAGCACAGATTATTTCATCTTTGATTTGACAGTTTTTTATTTAAAAGATATTAAAATAAGCTTCAATTTCTCACCTTTTATGTAAAACATCCCAGCAGCCATTAATTTTCTATTTGCTAAACCATCCTGGTGTAAGTAATCAAAACTGCACTTATCTGCAGAGTAATGATTATGATCCTAATATTATTTCAAATGGCCCCTGAGGCATTTTCCTCAAAATAAATGTAATTTTTTAAAACCCATGATAAAGTTCTTAATGTTTTTACTCTTGACAAGCAAAATATATACGCTGAGTGGTTCAGCTCTATTAGGTGTTACAGTAACTCATGACCATAAAACAACAACAAAAACAGAAGTACAGCCATCAATTTCCCAACAATGACTTAAAGATGGAAAATATGCCTGAGTTTCTTTAAGGCGGAAATGCATTTATTAAAGAAGAAATAAAAATGGCAGTTTACTTATCTGAATAAAATCAACCATGTTAAACAAATACACTCATGTCTGCAATTTCACATTTAATTTTAACCATTAAACAAAAGAAATAGTGTGGATGGTGTTAGCAGAAAGCCAGAAGATGAACGATTAAATGTTTTATTTAATTACACGTTTGTTTTACCAAAAACTATTGTTCTATTATTGTATTTAATGACATTTATAGACAAGAATCTGGTCCTTCTCAGGGGCGGATTTAGGACTGAAGAAGATCCGGGGCTTAACACACACGCGCGCGCACACACACGCGCGCGCACGCGCACACACACGCATGCGCGCACACACGTGACACGCACTAGTCAACATCATATATATATATATCTTGTACCACATAATGTTTAATCTGAAGCTACATATTCAGCATATTCAGGGCAGAGTATTGTTCCTGTTAGTGTTTAGTGTGAGATGATAGTGAATATTCCCTTTCTTTCTCCAACAACTTTACCTGATAGTAAGCTAACTTTAGGCAAACCAGCAGCACAACAAATATTTTCAAATAAGACTCACAAACCTAAGTAGCCTAGTGGTAGAGTGTCTGCCCTGAGATCGGGAGATCAGGGGTTCGACTCCTGGTCGGGTCATACCAAAGATTTTGAGAAAAATGGGACCCAATGCCTCCCTGCTTGACACTCAGCATTGGATTGGGGTTGGATTGGGGGGTTAAACCACCAAATAGTTCCCGAGCGCGGCGTGTCTGCAACTCAGGGGATGGGTCAAAATCGGAGAATAAATTTCACCACACACCTGTGTGTGTGACGACTAAATGGGACTTTACAAACTACTGCCAGCTGCGCCCTCTCTGTGTGACTTTGGTACTGCATGTTACTTCCGCGATTTAGATCCGGGGCTTATCATGAAAGATCCGGGGCTTCAGCCCAAGTAGCCGGGCCTAACGCCGCCCCTGGTCCTTCTACTGATCCTTGAGGAACCCCCACAAAAAAGCAACAAATATTGTAACTGAGAGTCACCAATAGTGACAAATCCATGACAGTTTCTGATTAGATAATAGCATAAAATTCATTTATAATACATCTACACCAGTGTGGTAGACATCATGAGGTAACATCTAAACCATCATAAAAGTTATGATCGAAAACGGAAGAGTTCTAATGAGCGAAATGGGTCAATGAACACATACAGCCTCTATTTGTGACTATAGAGGCTGTATGTGTTCATCTATCGATCCAAACAACAGGTGAGGTGTGTACCTGCTGGAGGAGGAGTGGCGTTCGCTGTAGCAGAGGAGGCCAGAAGGCACCCAGGAGAGAAGGTGATATCATCCAGACAGATGTCCCCCTTCTCTCCGCGCCCCACCTTGCCCTCAAACACCACCTGGAAGTCTCTAGAGGAGCTCAGCTGGATCTCTCTCATCTGCCAGTTGTTGCCCTGGTCTCCCGTCAGGTTCAGCAGGAGGTCAAGATGTCCTTCGGTTTTAGAAAACACGCTAAGGGTCCCGATGCCGTCTCCAGACATGTGTAAGTAGAAACGAATCTGCAAAGAGAAGCAGTAGGAGGCTGGTTTGATTTGTGATTTTTTTTAATCTCACATTGAAATCATGGTAGTAAGACAGGAGTGTTGGCTATCAATATTATCTGTGACAACATACGATGTAGTAAGTACGCAATATGATGATGCAGTGAAGTGTGTTATAAAATAAAACAATGATAAAATCTACGATGTAACGCAGCAATCATCTCTAACACCCGGTCAGTCGTGGCCGGTGGCTGTTATCCTGAGTCAGGTTGGGCTGGAGGTTTCTTCCTGTTAAAGGGGAATGTTCCTCTCCACCGTCATTACGTGCTTTCTAAGGGTTCCTGTAAAGTCACTGACACAACAGGTCAGTGACTCATCGCAATCTCCTGGGTTTCCTTGGATTGAAAACTTTTAGCAAACTGGCATAAAGAAAGTGGGTTCAGTTGGAACATTTGCTTTCTAAAGTGCCTTGGGACGACTCTTGTTGTGATTTGGTGCTACATAGATGAACTGAACTGAACTGATGTGATATGATCTACGATAACCTGTGATATAAATAAGATTTGATACGATACAATCAAATTTATGATAATGTGATTTATGACACAATATGGGGTGATGTGAAAAAGAAGTTAAGTGCCCGCCTCATAACAGGAGTGTTGAGGGTGGCCTGCTGGTGATGGTCAGAGGGAGATGTGTGTATGGCAGTCTCATCTCCACCAGCTAGCCCCAGGGCTGCTGTGGCTACACTGTAGCTCGTCACCACCATCGGTCACCACCAGCGTGTGAAAGTGTGCATGACTGTTGTATTGGAAAGTGCCTTGGGGGTTCTACTTAGTATGTTTTAAAAATGCTTGGATTGTTAATTTTCTTCTAAGAATAAAACACAAAACATTCATTTCAGTTGAGCCTGTACCCTGAGAGTCATTTTCTTTATTACGGCACGAAGAGAAATTGTATTTCTCCATCATGCGGTGATTTTTTATAGGCCTCCTCTCAAAATGAAGGAACGTTCATGATTTCCAACTACCTCTTTCCCTCAGAGGAGGAGAAAAAGCATCTGTCCTGCTCTTTTCACCACTTCCCTCTGCTCATCCCTCTCTTCAGTTTAATTCTTGCCTTTCTGCTGGCTGCATGATGGATCTACAGGTCAGGAGTAGGATCAAATACACACCACAGAGCAAGAAGGACAGTCAATCCAGAAATCATCTTTCAGTGGAGGCTGATGGCTGGGAGTGCAAAAGCTCCCGTACTCAGATTTAAATCATACTTCTCAATGCTTTCACTAAACTTATAACAATTCATCAAAAATCAGTCAGAAGGCATGCGCAGAAGCAGCTGGGTAAAGGTATCACTCGCGTTCTGGTGCTGTTTGCAGATGCAGATTCCAAATCTAGCACTAAGTTTGAATGTTTTACACAACATGAGACAAATGAAAAGCAGAAGGAGGTAACTGATGCTGTGCATCACTCAGATTTTATCTGATTAAAACTAATGACCACCAAGCAAAACCTCCACCCACTCATCCGGTTATGAGAAAAGTCTTTAAAACAACTGAGATTCGAGATTTGCATAGAAGTCTTATTATGAGGCACCAACAGCGTTGTGTAAAAAATTAAAAGTCAAACACCAACAACTATGGATGAACTAAAACATAGGAATTAAATAGATCTTGTGTGTGCAACCATTTCACAGTGTAGCAACAGGATGTGACTGGGTGAATGAAAACTGTTACAGGCATGTTTCATTTTAAACAAAAGTTCAGAGATGAAAACTGAAACAGGAAGTTTTTATAAAATATGCCAAGAATGCTCTATTCCTCTATATTTAACACCATTTGATTTAATCAAAGTCATCTTGTTGGCACTGGCGCCAGGAACAGAGGTCAAACTCAAAACCACAGTGCCCGCTGAAGCCCTCTGAAAGACACGTCAAAAGTTTTTCATTTTTAAATATTGAACTATCATAATAATAATAAATAAATATTTAACTTTTTCTTATGTTATTTACAATATTAATGGTAGATAATATGTTATTTAATTTATAATTAATATCATCATATTCATTATTGTCACTGAAGTACTGCCATTGTCCACCAGAGGGCATAAGACTGGTACAAGATTTGTTACAGCAGGTTTCTGAGGAATGTACCAATCCTGTTAAGGTGCTAAACGTCTTTGAAACTCTGTAAAAAGTGTATTAAATAATACAGCTGAGGTTATTGGTTTAAGCAGCTGAGTTGCATGTTTTTTCCCTCCAGACATCCTTCTTGCATAAATTAATTAAATGAAGCATTGACCTATTATTATTATTATTATTATTATTTAGTTAAAATGCTTTACCTTAATCCTAACCATGACCCTAATCTTAATTTGATTTTGCTGCATCTGAATCTTAACTTGCATATTGAAAACATCTGTTTTGACCTCACCTTACACTGTGAGCTCCTTCGGCTCAGCAAGGGACCGATAACACGGGCGGCATCCCCCACTGCCTGCGGAAAAGAGCTCTCCAAGTATAGGTAGTGTCCCGATGGGTCTCTCAGAGTGTGGTCACTCGATGGCCCGGTTCCAATTGTTGGAGTGCTGCCTGCTTTGATCAACCAATCAAAGTCATCTTGTTGGCACTGGCGCCAGGAACAGAGGTCAAACTCAAAATCACAGTGCCCGCTGAAGCCCCCTGAAAGACAGCAATAAATTAAAAGTACATGAATCCAAGTCATCCAATTATCTGGAAATTAAATTTCCTCCAAAAGTCATAAAAACGAGGCATCACTGCAGATGTAGGGGTCCTCGTCTGAGTTGTCCCCGCAGTGGTTGATAAAGTCACACAAGTTGTCTTGAGGGATGCAGTGGCTGTTAGCGCAGGCGTACTGCTCCGATGTGCACGGCTGGTTGGATGGAAGAAGAGGGGAGCAATCCTGGAAGCTGACATCGTCTATCACTACATCACCCATGTAGCTGATTCCCCTTTTAGTCCTGAATACCACCTGAAAATGGACACCAGACGTAATCCCCCGCAAAACCAACCTCAAACACGAACAGACAACGTAAATGGTTTTCACTACAAAATTTCAAACTGTATGAGATCTGGACGTTCACTGACAGTTGCAAGACCTTCTCTTTATCTTCCTTTCTGGATTCCTGTTGTATGACCCAGTTTGGTCCAAGAGTTGGGTGGACTCACGTTGCACTTACAGCAAAATGCCCAAACCCTTACTTTTAAAAGGAAACTGCAGATGTCAGCTAAAAAAATGTATTTGAAGAACAGCACCTGGTTGCTGCCTTCCCCCTTGGTTCCTATAAAAGCTGCAAGAGGTAAATTAGTCTTTTGTGCACATCTTAAAATAACAGTTTAAACTGAAAAGAATTTGAGCGTTCCAGTTACATACTATGCAATGTTTTTATATTTTTCAATCAGTTTCTTGAGCCTGTGTGTGCTAAAATGACACTTTACAGGGTTAATTAAATGTCTCACAGACCTCCATTGACCTCTGAGGCCAGAATAACGCATTTGCAACTTCAGAGTGCTGGTCCTGTCCCTGTTGCACGTAATAAAGTGGAGCTGACATGCCTGGAGCTGCAGTCCGCTTCCAGCATGTTTTAGATCATAAACAGAGCTGATTTGTTTAATTTAGTGACGAATCACTCCTGTAGACACTAAGGAAGGCTGGATAGACATTTCAGCTGTGTTAAAAAGACGAACACACAGCGAGAAGATGCGTTTCACTTTTGTTTTGATTAAAGGGCACTAGGGGGTGCTAAAAGCAAGCCGAACTGCTAAGTACTCCTTTAAATTCTAATAAATCGTTTGTCTAGCCATCAGATATTTCTAATCCTGATAAATGAGTCTGAGGAAGCATCTCATGCCCATAAGCAAAAATAAATAGAGAAATTACCCATCTATGTTATATATTATTGTTATTATTAAGAGTCTGATCATTGTTCTATTACATCACACATTAAAGGATGATTACAGACCTGGATTTGGTTCAATAACCCCAGAAACACCTCTCCTCGTCTCCATTTGTTGCCTTGGTTACCCGTTTGAGACCAAACCACTCGGGTGACATTTTTATGGCTAAGCAGCACCTGCAGATGTGATAAAAACAGGTGCTGTACCTCAGCTGCATTGAGACAATACCAAGAAATCTGATGCAGTCTCCTTTTCTTCTCCCGTCTTCTTACCTGCAGAGATCCCACGGTGAATCCACTCATGTGGTACCAGAAGACCAGCGTGCAGAACGGCCCAGTGGAGGACACGATGGATGTTTGGAGGTCAGAGATTTGACCGTGGGCACCATTTGAACTGTCAGCACACATATACCACCCTGCAGGGCTGTTCCTTTAGATGAATGATAAAAATAACAAGCTATTATCCCCGCAGTGGCTTTTAAAGTGAAAATGAGACATTTCATGGGTAATTCTGCTAATATTTAGTTTACACTGAGACTTTCTGGGACTTTTTATTCCTAAATGACTTTAGATTTTTGATCATTTAAAATCTAATGCTACAGGAAAACCTATTCACCAAGTCAATAACCGACACATCCTAATGTGATTATAAAGGACCCACCTCTAGCCACCCAACATTTATTATATAAAAATAAAAAATGGTGGGATAGGCGGATTGGTGCTGCATCTGCAGTGATGCGGGCGTTGTACCGGTCTGTCGTGGTGAAGAGAGAGCTGGGTCAGAAGGCGAAGCTCTCGATTTACCGGTCGATCTACGTTCCTACCCTCACCTATGGTCATGAGCTTTGGGTAGTAAGAATGAGATCGCGGATACAAGCGGCCAAAGTGAGTTTTCTCAGAAGAGTGGCTGGGCTCTCCCTTAGAGATAAGGTGAGAAGCTCGGTCATCCGGGAGGGGCTCGGAGTAGATTCGCTGCTCCTCCACATCGAGAGGAGCCAGTTAAGGTGGCTCGGGCATCTGGTCAGCATGCCTCCTGGACGCCTCCCTGGTGAGGTTTTCCAGGCACGTCCAACCGGGAGGAGACCTAAAGGAAGACCCAGGACACGCTGGAGGAACTATGTCTCTCACCTGGCCAGGGAACACCTTGAGATTCCCCCGGAGGAGCTGGCCCAAGTGGCCGGGGAGAGGAAAGTCTGGGCCTCTCGCCTTAAGCTACTGCCCCGCGACCCCACTCCGGATAAGTGGATGAAAGTGGATGGATAAAAAATGTCATCATCAAGTGATCACACTGGATTTTAGAAGGTAAATTCATGATAATAATTCAGTGTTGATAAGGACAGAAATTGATCAAAAGATTTTACCAAAGTGATCTGAACTCAATGTTATTCTGTTCTGTTTGTGTAGCAGGGGAGCATGCACTAATAGACATAACACAACAATGAGTAAAGACATAAGTTTGAGCAGCAAAGGGTTGAAATGACATAAAATAAAGAAACATTTTTACTAACCCTACATTTTTTAGATTAAATGTATCTGCTGCAGAAGAGGTACACATCTGCTGTAATCTAATTTGTGTTTAATTGAGGAAACTATGATTAAAAGTAAATAAACGAGACATCATCAGAATCCTGTTATTATTAAGCAACAAAATGTATGTTTTTATTGTATTTTATTATCTATGTGTTCTTATAACTTTCAGGAGCAAAATGTTTTAGTAAAGTAAAAAGTTACTATGTCACTATCAGTCTGTGAGTGTCATGGCTGTTGCCAGTTACAGATCAGAGCCCGGAAAACCTCACCAGGGAGGCGTGCAGAGGCATCCTAACTAGATGGCCAAGCCACCTCAATTGGTTCCTCTCGATGTGGAGGAGCAGCAGGTCTACTCTGAGCCCCTCCCGAATGACCAGCTTCTCACCCTATCTCTAAGGAAGCGCCCAGCCACCCTGCCGGAGAAAACTCATTTCGGCCGCTTGTATCCACGATCTCGTTCTTTTGGTCACTACCCAAAGCTCATCGCCATAGATGAGGGTTGGAACGTAGATCAACCGGTAAATCTGGTCTGTGGATTCACCACAACAGATCGGAACAATGCTTGTGTTATTGGAGCACTTCACACACACACACACATATTAAACTGTAGTATTGAGTGTTTGGTAATTGAAAAAGTATAGCTTCAGACATTTTTAGAACTGACTATTTGCTTCCAATTCACCGTAAACATTGTTAGCTCAATGTTAGCCTCTTGCTTTCTTCACCTGATATTAAAGTAAAACAAAAAGGTGCCATGGCTTTGTAGGGGCACAAGAAATAACTTCTGTCACTCCCGTTACTCTGTAGCTTTGTGTCGGCCGAGTATAAAAGACAAGAAAAGTGATGTTGATTCAATGCATCGGATCTACAGATGCGGCTCCAACTTGATCTGGGTCTTTGGACTCACAAAGTATGGTCGTTTGCAGGACGGTGATTCTGCTCTCCTTCATGGATCGTTTCCCCCTGGTCAGCCGCCCAGATAAACGCATGATTTGGAACTAAAGGTGAATTGACGATTGTCCAGCCACAAGTATCACCACCTTCAAAATCACACGCTGACTTCACTGAAAGGAGAAAGCAAAAAGAACAAAACAGGGAGACATGATGAACAAAAAGAATATTATAGATTAATTTGTGAACATACATTAATATTTTACCGCAGTTTGCTTCATCTGATCCATCAGAGCAGTCATGTTTGAAGTCACACACTTGAGTGAAGTTCACACACTCTCCATAGGCTCCACACACAAACTGGCCTTCAGGGCAGCTGTGGGGCAGCACAGTGGGGGGTGGAGTGGTCACTGCTGGGGTGATCAGAGAGGGCAGCTCCCCTGTAGGCAAGAGCCAGTCCGAAAATAAACAAATCAGTAAAAAAAAAAAAACACTAAAACAGTAGAAGTAACTGTATAAAATGTATTTACCATCTGATTTCTCACAATTCAGAAAGGAAAGATCATCAATGGCGATGTCTCCTTTAAAATCATCCCCAACTGTGCCTTCAATTAAAATCTGAACATAGAGTACACACACTCACACACACACACACACATACGCACACACACACACACACACACACACACACACACACACACACACACACACACACACACACACACACACACACACACACACACGGTTAATAGCCAAAACAAATAAATACAAATACATTCTTACTTTAAATTTTATCATAATAATGTTAAATTATTATTTATTAAGGATGCACCAATACCACTGTTTTTCCAAACCGATACGATACAGATACTTTAATCTGAGTACTCGCCAATACCAATTACCGATACTGATACTTCTACCACACAAAAAAATGAAATTAATTTAAATACAGGTTTTTTTCTTCTCTGCTTTCAACAGGAAAAGACTGTGAGGTAGATACAAAATTAAATATATTAATAGAAATGATCACAAAGCTAAAATATTAAGTGAACAGAAATGACAAGCTACAGTGAAGCCACTTTCAGGCAGCTGCATTGGTATCGGTTAACTTTTACCGATACCAGTATTGATATCGGTGCATCCCTATTATTTACATATACATTTACATTATATATTATAACCCACTGGTGCTTGAAACTAATAAAAAATAGAAAATAAAACTCATAAAAAATCTAAATACCTCACATCTATGAGGGTCTGCCAGGAGCAATATTCTAAATTTACAGATGAAACTCGAACAAATTTGAATATTGTGCAAAAGTTTAGTTATTTCAGTAAAAACAAAATGGGCCCAAACCAAGTACTAAGTGCATAAATAATGATCATACTGTTTCTCTTTTTATAATCCTTGTTTTATTATTTCATGGAATGTTCTGCAGGTGAAACTTGAAAAAGTGCAGCCTGGCAAGCCATCCTATAATGTAAATATATAGTCTGGCCACGACCCATAGAGAGCTCAGTCTTTGGGCAGAATCTACGGTTGTCTTTCAGGCTGTCCCCCACATGCTATTGGACAACAAACAAGGTGACATACTCACTGCATGTGTCAGCCAATAGGGCAGTCCACCACATACTGTCGAAGAAGACGCAAATATACCTGAGTATGACTGAAGATGTTTATGTTTATGTTTATGTATTTAGCAGACGCTTTTGTCCAAAGCGACTTACAAGTGATAGATGATTCCATCATTTTGCTTCAGCTACTGTCCGTCCAGATTTCTAGGCCAGAAAAGGCCATTTATGTCAGTGTTTGACCTTAGACTGAGAGACCATCTAAAGCACCTAAATGTACCTAAATGGCGGCCAGCGGTCCACGTTTGTCCTGCAGGACCTTTCCACCTGGCCCCTAACCCTTTGGACCGTAACAAACCCCCCAGTTGGGGGACTTTGAAGTTTAGCTGCAAAATTCTTGTCCAAAATATCAATAATTGTTTACGTTCTCCAAACACATTAAAACTACAATCAAAACAATGTAGATGCAAATCAAAGCAATTTTAAATATTAATGAATTAAGATACAATGACACTTAAACTTTGTTTTAGAAGATCTGGCCCTCATGATGTCTGCTGGAAAAAGCTCCCACCCTTGAACATATTTAGTTGAGGACCTCTGATCTAAAGGCTCAGGAACCCTTTGCAGGTGTTTTGGATTCATTGGCTGATTAGAGTGTGACACTTTGACCCTAAAATATTGAACCTATTCACAATATTGAAGATGTCTGAGATTTTTAATTTGGGGTTTTCATAAGCTGTAAGCCATAATCATCACAAATATAGCAAATAAATTATTGAAATATATATCATATATTAGTTTCACCTATTATGGGCTCGACACACGGGAGGCGACAAACGACCGCGATCAGCGAAATTTGTCGCTGTCACTTTTATTACCTGACACACGGGAGGTGACCCGCAGCAGCGGCCAGCGTCAAAGCCGTCGATGCGTTCTGTTCCATGGCGAAATCGAATCTTCCTTTGTTTTGATTGGCTGTGTCAGGTTGGAGGGAATGAAGGTTATTTAAGCGGTTCAGAGTTTAAAAAAGGCTGTAGATATGATGTTTCACAAGGTGCTGCTAAAGTTATGCGGCTCTGGCGCAGAAGGCGCAAGGCAAAGAGATGCCGGCTGGCGGTGAAAGTGAACGTGAGCATGGTCGTGGAGGCTGGTGTCTGCTTCCAGCCTGGCAGCAGGCCTGTGCAAGCAAGGCGTCGGCATATACTAATAATAGTCACCAACAATTTCCCATGCTGCGGCCTTTATGTGAATATCTTTATATTCTTTGGTAGAAATTTTGTACAGTTCTGGGAAATCCATCACAGCAAGTATCAACTTCTTCTCCATGTTTGCTCGGAGATGTACGGAGCATCCTCTCCGTTCATTGGTCAGTGAATGAAACCTCCGTTGATTGGTCCTCGTCCGAGTGACAACGATGAAAAGTTGAAAATATTTCAACTTTCTGGGATTTTCGTTGGGTTGCCTGTGCACGATACGTACACGAGCGCAAAATTTCACACGCACGTTTTTTACGTTTCGCTTAGTAGGAGGGAGACCCGCGATTATCGCTTTGTCGCGCATGAGGTTTTTTTTAAATGTGTATGAGAGGTTCCATGCTTGTGTTTGAGAGGCTTTTACTTGTGTGTATAAAATATTTTTACGTGTGTATGAAATGTTTTTACAAGTGTGTATGAGAGGTTTTTACATGTGTGTATAAAATATTTTTATATGTGTGTATGAAATGTTTTTACATGTGTGTATGAAATGTTTTTTCATGTGTGTATGAAATGTTTTTTCATGTGTGTATGAAATAATTTTACATGTGTGTATGAAATGTTTTTACATGTGTGTATGAAATGTTTTTACAAGTGTGTATGAAATGTTTTTACAAGTGTGAATGAAATGTTTTTACAAGTGTGTATGAAATGTTTTTACAAGTGTGAATGAAATGTTTTTACAAGTGTGTATGAAATGTTTTTACAAGTGTGTATGAAATGTTTTTACAAGTGTGAATGAAATGTTTTTACAAGTGTGTATGAAATGTTTTTACATGTGTGTATGAAATGTTTTTACATGTGTGTATGAAATGTTTTTACAAGTGTGTATGAAATGTTTTTACAAGTGTGTATGAAATGTTTTTACATGTGTGTATGAAATGTTTTTACATGTGTGTATGAAATGTTTTTACAAGTGTGTATGAAATGTTTTTACAAGTGTGAATGAAATGTTTTTACAAGTGTGTATGAAATGTTTTTACAAGTGTGTATGAAATGTTTTTACAAGTGTGAATGAAATGTTTTTACAAGTGTGTATGAAATGTTTTTACATGTGTGTATGAAATGTTTTTACATGTGTGTATGAAATGTTTTTACATGTGTGTATGAAATGTTTTTACAAGTGTGTATGAAATGTTTTTACAAGTGTGAATGAAATGTTTTTACAAGTGTGTATGAAATGTTTTTACAAGTGTGTATGAAATGTTTTTACAAGTGTGAATGAAATGTTTTTACAAGTGTGTATGAAATGTTTTTACATGTGTGTATGAAATGTTTTTACAAGTGTGTATGAAATGTTTTTACAAGTGTGTATGAAAGGTTTTTACATGTGTGTATGAGATATTTTTACATGTGTGTATGAAATGTTTTTACAAGTGTGTGTGAAATGTTTTTACAAGTGTGTATGAGAGGTTTTTACATGGTGGTAAATGAACAATTAATTAATTAATTAATTAAATAAATACATGCAAAAAAGTTAAATTTTTTTTAGTGTGAAAGGTAAAGAGATAAAAGTTACTGTTATTTGAATTTTGTATTTTCAACATCATCTTGTGTATGGTGCAGGTTTTATATTTAAATAAAATTAATCACTGTCTGTTGTTTTGTGTTTGCACTCAATTAGGCTGACAGTCAGACCTCCCGTTTGAGTGGCTCAACAGAGGAAAGTCTTTAACTGCCTGTCAAGTTGAACTCCCTCCTGAACGATGGCAACAGAACATCCATCTTGTTCAGTGACGGATGTTGAACAGTAAAGCAATTAAACTGATTCTCATCACACAGCAGTGAAGCGCATCCATAAATATGAAGTCTTTGCTTCACTGCAGCTTTGTTTGCTGCCAGAGAGATGTGTTTACCTTTGATTACACAAGGTGACTGAATGCAAATGATTCCTGGAGGGATGTGATGTGACTGTAAGCGATGTTTAGGCTTCACACCCTAAACTTCCTCATGTTGCTGTGGTTGAAGTCATGCACACATTGTTTCAGTAAAAAAAATGTTTTGCTGTGTTTGTACACTTTTATAATTTAGCTATTGAATCCAAATGCCTCATCCTGCTATGGAGCTTTGTTTAGAAATTATTTATTTAGCACCCCAAATGATAGCAGGGTTATGTAATTAGTTTTCTTGCTATTTTCTTTGCCATTTACGAGCATTTCCTCCAGCACTATAATACATCCATTCCGACATATAGGCATGATTTTAATACTCTATTTTCCTTTGTTTTATGATTTATTTTCTGTTTTAATGTTCCTTTTGGTTTTTATTAGGTTATTTCCTGACTTTTGTTTTTAATGACTTTTATTCAACCCTTTTTAATATGTTTTACTTAGTTTCAACTTTTGTATTTTGATGTTTGCAAAATATGTTGTGATTTTCTCTCTGACAGGTTTATAAATCTTTATAAATACTTACATCCGGGTATGGCTTTGTGTGAGTAAAATTTGAAGAAACACAAGCAGTCACAGGCCAGCAGAGCACCATAAACACATTAAACAACTTTTTTCTTAGATATTTTTGGAAAATTAAAAACTAGGAAGATCTTATTTTTATGTAAGTTTCATAAGACTCTAATATGAAGAATCCTTTACCTGGAAAGGCTTAGCACTGTGGAGGTACAGAGTCTTCATGTGCCATAAGTTCCCCTGGTTTCCATATTTTGCCCAGAGCGTGGGTCCTCGGCCTGTAGCCGTGGTCCTCAGGTATACCGCCAGACTAAACACGTGCGATCCGAACATACAGTAGTGGAAGCGGAAAACACAGCTGTGGTGGCGGGACCAGGATGGGTCCTGTCCAGGCTGGTAGGTGGGTTGAAACACTGGACTTAGCAGGACAGCTGTGTCCTTAAACTCCTGAGGGGAGGAGGACTCGATGAAAAGGTAGTGACCATCCCTGGTGCCCAGCGTGTGGTCCTTCCAAGGGCCCGTATCCAAGGTTGGAGTTGGGCCACTGATGTGGGTCCAGTCAAACTCGTCTTCTCCACTGCTTTCCTGTTTCCAGTTGCAAAGTCCGTCTTCAAAGTCACACTGAAGCTCTGGAGCTGAAACGTCAAACCAATAAGGGTGTGAAGTTAGGGTCTTTAAACAGTCACAACAACAAAATGTATTTCTAAATGCTAATTTTGCATAATTATTGCAAAGACAAGTAATAATGTTTTAGATTTGTATATCTGTTGAGTTAAAAGGTGGCAATAAAGGGATGGGTCACAAGCTGATAATAAAACAAAAGTGCTTCTCCAATTTCTCCTTCTCCTTAAAGATCTGGTTGTGTTCCTTCCTAGACGCTTACAGCATCCCTCCTCATCCGACCCATCCCCGCAGTCGTCCACGAGGTCGCAGAGCTGCAGACGCTCCACGCACGCTTTAGTGTTCACACAGTGGAAATGTGTTTCCGTGGGGCACAACACCACCGCGGGTGGCATTGAACAGTTTTGGAAGGAGACGTCGTCAAAAGCAGAGATGCCATCGAACACGCCAAGGCTGATTTTGGCCAAAGCGATCTGAAAGGGTTGAGTGATGCGGCCTAGACGGACGATGACATGGTTCCAGCGCCGTCCCTGGTCGTACAGCGTGGTCCATATCACGGTGTTGTTTTGAACTCCTTTAAATCTGAGGTACATGTCAGCAGCACCGATGGACACCCCTGAGTTATAATGCCTGAGGAGAAGAGAGAGAGATGAGAGCTGAAAGTCCACTAACAATAATATTCCATTATGGTAAGAGGCTGTAAAACTGTCTTAAGCATGATCGATCTTAATGCACTTCTCTTCATTGTCACTGAGAAATAAGGGAAGCATTAAGGCAGCAGAACTGAGACGTTTAAAAAGAGTGAACACAATAAGGTTTGTAGTAAATTTAAATACTGAGAATGAGAAGAAATGGCCTGCAGAGGAGGGAAGTGTGCAGACTGCTTCTCACCAGAAGGTCATGGTGCACCCTGAGGCCGACTGCTGGAACCAGGGTCCCCTGAGAATTGCTTTTGGATACAAACTGCTGCTGTTCTTCAGTATAAACAAGAAATGACCTGCAGTGGGAGAGATCAGCGGTATTATTCAAACCTTTCAGAGCATCTGCTGCCTTTCCTGGTGATAATATGTCCAACCAGGCAGTCAGTGAGTCACCTGTTTTAAAAAAAGCTCAGTAGCTGTAATGGGAGCAGCAGTGGAGATGTTCATTTACGCTCCACATCGTCTCACTCTGATGTTTCTGCCATGCAGACAGACGGATTTCATCTAGCTCTTGTTAGGGGTTCTGTTCATTTAAGTTGCCATGGTGACACTGTCTCATTAGACAGTTTTCAATGAAAAGAATCCTTTTTGTGTCATAGAAAGATGTCATGAGGCTCATTTCCATTAAACTATGAAATGTTGTGTCACCATAGGAAGTTGGGGCACAAGAAGCATCACAAGATTGTAATGAACTTCAAATTATCCAGCCAGCATGCATAGATGAGCCCTATATGTATTTAAATGGGAAAACAGTATGGGTCCCAACAGGTTTTTTCTGCTGTTTCCATGCTGGCCCCACAGTGGTTTGCCCATAAAGATTTTAACAGGGTTAAAGAGTCAAACCATCTAGGTCCCACTGTTACATTCTATGTAGGCAAAAATCTATGTGTGCAAACCCCTGTGGGGCCACCAAGGAAACCGTGGACAAAACCAGTTGGAACCCACATTGTGTGCCAATACACATTCCATGTGGGGCCCACCTATGTATGTTAGCTCGGTACTGGGTTAAAAATAAAGGAAGTCGAACAACAAACAGAACAAAACAGCTGATCTTGATGGATTTGTGGATTTATGTTTCTGAAATCCGCTTCCTTTGTTGTATATTTTTCTTTGGTGAGTTATTCCTTTTGTGCTTTGTCAACGTGTTTCCTCGATTACTTCAAAATGTCACTTAAATTTGCTGTGAAGCTGTTGTCTCATTTACTCATCTTCACATTTGCCTCTTGGTGGCAGTGTAGGAGCTAAAAGCAGTGTTCTGTGTACGTGCAATATGACATCTTGTTTATCAGTCCAGCTTCTGCGTACGTGCTGTTCAACATCTTGTTTATCAGTCCAGCTTCTGCATACGTGCAGGGCCCAGGAGTCAAGTTCCGTAGACCGTGAACCGATCCGAAGAGCACGCCTCTACTCCTGCTTCGTGGTCGCCAAAATGTGGTTCTTTTGCCTTATCAAAATACAAGAGACAGACAGCTTTGTCCAAACACAGCGTGGGGCATTTATTTATACAATTCATCAATACATCACCAACAACTCAGGGGACAGCTTCCAGCCTGGATCTAAATAGCCTCGACTGGAACCTTCTGCAAAAGCCCTCCTGCCCTCTACACACAGCATCAGTTATACTCGTGTTGCTGGCGCTTACTCCCACATTCCTTTGATTTCGGGAAATGATGGGGTGCTGTTTTCACTTCCCAATAAGGGCCTAGAACTTAAGAGTTACTGGAAGTTACATAAGTTGGACTGAAAAACATGATGTTGAGCTGCACGTACGCAGAAGCTGGACTGATAAACAAGATGTCAAATTGCACGTACACAGAACACTGCTTTTAGCTCCTACTGCAGTTGTGCAAAAGCAGCACCCCTTGGGGTTAGGTGTAGGCCAGATGCGCTGCATGCCGACGAGCTGGGCAGGGGCCTCCAGGCCACAAGAGGCCCCCCAGAGGGCAGGACCACAACAGTAGAGAACAGTAAAACGCTGTCTCCCCCTCCCCCTCTCGATTGCCCAGCTGAACACTCCCTCGTCTGAAAACCACCACCATCAGCAGCAGCCCTCATCCCCTCTCAGACTGAGAACAGTAGCACAGATCCCAATCTGGGCTTGGGGCCCCATGACAACTTAACTAAGACTGAAGGCGATAGCATGCTTTCACAATAAAACAAACTCATACTTTAGAATACACATTTGCATTTCACGTGTGCAGCTTCTAAATCTAAACCTGAAAGCAAGATTTTCACACAACATTGAGAACAAAAACAACAGATGGGGCTTCATGGATTCAGCCAGCAACATGACTCTTGTTAATTCAGTGACAGTTCTGATCTGGACGGTGGAAACCCAAGAAAAATGTCATGAGGCATAAAACACGCTGCGGTACATAAACCAAGAGGCTAATGTGGTGCCTTGACACGGATGAGTGGGACTGTACGTTGTTCAAGTGGCTGATAAAGTTTACTTAATTGTCACATATTTCAGAGGTTTGATCCTCCTACCTTGTGTGGTGTTGGTGGAGTGGTCTGGTAGAGGTGGTTGGCCATAGTAGTCTGGAGGTACATCCACTGACGATCCTCTGATCCAGTCAAACCCATCGCCGAGGGTGACTTCATACCAGCCACACGAACCCCTCTCGAAGTTGCACTCAGAGGCTGAAACAGCCGAGGGATTAGATCATTTAGATACTCCTAAAACATAATTAGCGTAGTGCCCATGTGTATATACATGTGCTTTTGTTATTATTTTCTGAGTGATTGTGCTATTTGGCTGGTCTCCACAAAGGAAAAAAACCCTAAAACTTGGTTTTAGAGCTACGGTGTGAATTAACTGTTGGTGAGGGTTCAGGTTAGGAATAGAACCCCATTGGCTAGGGTTAGGCATAATTCAGCCACAAAAATGAATGGAAGTCAATGACAAGTCCCTACAAGTGTATGAATACCATCACGTGTGTGTGTGTGTGTGTGTGTGTGTGTGTGTGTGTGTGTGTGTGTGTGTGTGTGTGTGTGTGTGTGTGTGTGTGTGTGTGTGTGTGTGTGTGTGTGTAGCCTTTTTCAGAAGTCACACCATGCTGGCAAATCAGCGTAGTACTGCCACCACGGTGTGTCTCATAAACGCGCCGTGGCAGCATGGCGTTGCGGGAATTTTACGGCCTTTGTGCCACCATGCTTGGTAGTAATATTACCGCAATGCCGGACTTGTGAATGCGTATTACACTTCAGGAGCAGCAAAGGGAGGTGTCACAATCACATGAGGAGTTACTACCGAGCTCCGGCAGGAAACTGCATTGAAAATGAAAATAAACACAAGTTTTGCTTTTGTAAACAGAACCAGCTGAGATGATAAACTGGAGCGATGCAGAACTCCTGGAGCTTCTCCCCGTTAAACCTGGAGAATTGTGCAGGGACTGTGGAGGACAACCAGCTTTAGGAGCGGCTTTGATCGCAAGAAAAAGAAAGTTATGTCCAAGATGAATGGACGTTTGTGCAGAGACCACCCCCATACCTCCTTTATACTGCCATTGTGTCATTTTTTGTAAAGAAGAAAAAAAAAACAATTGCACCGCATTACCGCCACGGTCTGACCCCTTATACATGACCTAAGGCTCCCTGATGCAATTAGACAGTATTGTATTTTTTAAAGAGTCTTATGTGAATGTAAAGAGTGCATATGTGTGTGTGTGTGTGTGTGTGTGTGTGTGTGTGTGTGTGTGTGTGTGTGTGTGTGTGTGTGTGTGTGTGTGTGTGTGTGTGTGTGTGTGTGTGTAGAATATATGTGCATATGAGTGTGAAATGTGTGTATGTATGAGAAGAATGTATGCGTGTGTGAGGAGAATACATGTATGTGAGAGTAACAGAAGAAGCATGGCGTACACAACCCCTCATAGAAAATCTTTCCTCGAAACTAAAGGTTATAATGAGATTCTAAATAGTTTTATTCATTTAAACCAAATTATAGGAAATAAGCAGATAAAATGTTTGATTTATATGCAGTGAAGAGGCTCTTACGACAGCTGGCTTCATCCTCTCCGTTAGGACAGTTTTTAGTGAAGTCACACACTTTGCTCTCCTCGACGCATTCCCCTGCACCACAGTGAAACCAGGAGTGCGGGCAGGGAGATGGAGTAGATGTACTGCTCTCTACTAAACACACACACACACACACATACAAACAATTAAAACAGATGATGGATCTATAGCATCCAGGTGTAAGAAACGCTTTTAAAGCTGAAACAGATATTTAATCGGAGCGTTACAGCCCTTCGGTTTGGCTCCTCTCAGGTAGTTTTAATCATCAGAACACGCTCCGGGGAGATCAGTGTGGATTAATGAGCTCATTCCTGTCCAGAGAGGAGTAAGTACATCTTGCAGGGAATTAGATTCAACTGTGCAGTGATGTACAAACATATGGGATTTTTATCACTAATAGGTCTGGAAGTAAGTTAAGTTTATATATATGCATGCATCACTGAAAAAATTAATCACAAGGCATCACATCAAAATAAAAACGTAATCAAAAGACAGAAAAACAAAAGAACACAAGATAATAAAATGACTGAACAAGAATCATTAAAAAATTCATTAAACTAATGAAAAAAGATACGAAAAAAAGGATAATAAAACAAAAAGGATAAAGGTCATTAAAATCAGGAACAATAGGTCAAAACTTCTTTTCCTAAAATAACACAACCCATTATGAAGTGTGGCCAGTAAAGTGATCACAGTGCTTTTGTTGTAATAAAACTTGAAATAATTCAGACACATAGTGCATAAATAAAATCATGTGAAAACACAAGAGTTAAGATGGATGCCTGACTTTGCTACATGTGATGCAGGTTCGAATGAAGCTTGGAAAATTAATTCTTGCCAACTCGTGCCACTCTTAGATATAACGGCCGACTATAACAATGTTAAAGACTTACCTATCCATAACAAATGTCGGCAACTCTGACACTGACATCTTTAAGTAAATGGATGTCTAACAATATTGGCTAACACTGAACTGCACCCAGTTCCCGTTGCATTGGACTCTATGGGACGGGGAGGGGCTTAGCAAAACAAATTTTATGTATTGCTTACATTTTATCACAGAGCAGGGTGAGACTGTCATTATTAAGGATTGTTGAAAAATCATACCCAAAAGCTGCTCAAAGATCAACCCCAGATGCAGCACGTAAAGGAGACAAGATACTGACAGGATTTAAAAGTTGACCAAAATAGTGGGATTGCAACTTCAAAAACTAACCCTGGATAAAAAAAGATTTGTTTCTCTTATAGCCATAAAACAAACAAGACATAAAGCAATAGTCAGCTGTTTGTGGTGCTTCCAACAGCAGCTACTCAAGTCCTGCAGGGAAATAGAAGATTGTGGTTTAAACCAGTCCATTACATATTTAACATCTGTTTAATCTATATGCAGAAAGCAGGAACACCGAAAATGAAAATGAAAAGTAGCAGCTGTTAAAATGCTGGAGGTTGCAGCTGTAAATCACCCAAGAATCATGTTGAAATGCTGTCCAAAACGCCAAGTACACCATGCTTTATTGAACTCTACCAGCAAGAAGCTGAGTTGAGCCTCATTCATCGCCACAGCAGACCCAAACAGACTCACACAGCGTGAAAATGACTGTTCCATATTTAGTGCGAGGAAATGTACAGTAAGCACTCCCTTAACGACGCGGGTGTTCTGTTATAAAAGCATTGCCCGGAGTGTTTTAATGCCTTTACTCCCATTCATCAGCGCTCAGAACAAGTGTTTGGTCTGGTTATGTGTGGAGATTTTTCAAAATGTCAACGTCTGAAGTCGATGTTAGAGAAGCAGCAGTACCAGGGAGGACCAGGCAGCCGGGGCCGAAGGAGAAGTCATCAACAGCCAGAACTTCAGACACTCCAGAGTTGGCTGAAAGTTCTCCTCGAATCACCACCTGATGAAGGGAATTAGACATTAAGTATTCACATCATCAGTTTATAAGAGAATCAGGATGAGAGCAGAGCGGTGTGAAGTGCTTGCACGATAAACTGTGAAGACAATCTGCAGACAAAAAGGTACGTATTTGCAAAAAAGCTAAACTGGATACAAACACGGTGAAAGAATGATCAAAAGAAATATTTAAAAGAACATCATGTGAAAATCACCTTTTGCATCCTTTTATGCTATCATGCGGGTCTACACTGCCTCTATAAACACTCCAAACATTTAGCATTCATACTATTTATAACATGGAAAAATCCTCCATGCTATCACCCGTGTGTTTCTGAAGAGCTAAAATAAAGCCCAAATGGGTGGTTCCCACCGCTGCCATCTTGGCCGTGCCACGTGTCTCGCCACTCTCAGAAAAAGACAAAACTGGAGCTGAGAGCTGGGACAGAGGATTGACACTCATCAAATTCTAAACCAATGTAGCTACGAGCTAACCTGGAGCTAACTGAAGCTAACAAAGGTTGGCGTGTGCTTTTAGCCAGACAACTGACTCTGCCCTCTAGGCTGTAACACTTTTAATGTGAGGCCGAGGCTGGGGCCTTCTCTGGACCCAACAGGTGACTGCTAGTGCTGACGGCTCATCTGCTACTTGACGATCAAAATTACACCTCCCTAATTATTCATATTCCCAAGCTTTAATTTCATATAAATGGTTAAATTACAAAATCATTCGCCCCCTCAGAGTGGTCATGACAGTAAACCTGACCAAATAAACCTTAAACAATTTTTGGAACCAGGCTGTAAACATGTTTCTGCTGTGAAGTAAGCCTGAGTGGGGGATGGGTGGGCGTGGCCAGCTCCAGCTTGTTTTCTTAAAGCGGCAGAGCCCTGGAGCGACTCTTTTTGGAAGGTACTAAAAATGTCCAGACTAAAACTGCTGAAATCACATTGTGAGAGGGATTTTGTGTAAAGAACTTCATGAACATGTTTTGTATCAAATCACAGAACTATTAAAACTTTTGAAAAATCCTAATATGTCTCCTTTAAGAGTTAAAGAAACAAGCTTCTCTTGTGTAACATCATAGATTCACTGATCATAGTCCAGCTTTATCTCTAGCCGCTCTGCAGGTTTACAGCCTGTTTATGACTCATCTGCTTCTTTTCCGACTGTCCACTAAAACCGTCTGCAAACTCTGAACTGAAAGAGATGTTTAACCAATGCAGAGCCACAACATGAACTTGACCTCTAGAAATAACACATTAAACCCTAATGTGATGTTTGAGTGTTTTGCAAAAACTAAGTAAAATATTAAAGTTTTGGACAACAGAACTACCCGTTTTTGTTCAGCAGTTGCATTTGTATCTTTACAAAGTAAAACAACTAAAAGACATTTTTCCTTCTGCAAAACTCACCCGGAGCATTGCGTCAAAGTGGAAGCTAACCTAAATGAGCTGACTGATTTGAAAACTGCTTTTGGAAGCAGATTATTAGAGGGGAATGAACGTGACCCTCAGAAGAGTCGACCTCTCCTCATAGCCAGCAGACAAGCAGATGGTAGAAGCAGAAGGAAGGAGAAGGTGACTCTCTGGCATGCTTTGCAGCAGAGCTAAAGGACACTAACAGCAGGATTCCCAGGACTCCTGAAGGACCATGAAGGGTTAGATGGTTCAGCACCCTCCTTCTACAGGAATTATAAAATTATAAATCAAATAATTACCTGGAAACTGTGATTGCAGTTAAATTCAATGACTGTCCGCTGCCATGTTGCTGGTGTCTGCAGCTGTGTGGAGAACTTCCACACTTCAGTGATCAGATCTGCTGATGCAGACCGAACCAGAACCTGTAGATCTCCATGTTTTACATCAACATAATGATAGAAACCCATCTGATGAACAAAGAAACACCACTTTATTGATTCTGTAATCTTAGTTTGTGCCACATGTGAATACCTGAGGAATTTGTTACCCGACAGGTGGAAGTGGACCAGAAAACGGGGCTGTTCAGGTCTGCTGAGGTTCGGTTTCCCTCTTCAGGTAAAAGGGACAGAAAATATCCTGCAGATGAGGAAAAAAAAATATGTAAACACGACGCCGGGGTCGGAGTCTGGAAGCAAAGATGTCAGCTGGTTCCACCTGAGGAGTTGGTGTGGTCATGTTTGAGTCCTGCAGCCTCAGTAGTTCTGATCCAGTCAGAGAGAGTTTCTGAGCTTTGGGTCAGGTCACAGAATCCATGCTCAAAATCACACCTTGTGTGTGCAGAACCTAGAAAACAAGACCAAATCTTTAGGTTGCTTTTTGATCTGAACCTTTTTCAACTAAAGTTTTATTAGCGAGAAATTAGTTTATAATTAATCCATAAATCCACATATATTCTCTGGAACAGACCTTTGATTTAATTCCTGTCATTTATAAGCTGTTTTAGAGCTTGAGAGTGTTATAACTCAAACCAGGAGACTCTAACTCAGGTCCCTGAGGGCCAGTATGTCACAGCTGCTCTAACACACCTGATTCAGTGGCTGAATAACCTGTTCATCACATCTGGCGCCTGTGTTTGGAAGCCTCACCTCCATCAGTGTGCCTCAGGGCAGCTGTGGCTCCAATGTAGCTCATCACCATCAGCGTGTGAATGTGTGTGTGAGTGGATGAATGATCCACTGTAATGTATAGTTTTACTGTGACGTACGGTTTATAAAGAGGCCATTTTTTCAATCCCCTTTCATGTAACAGTGTTACACATATAAAACTCCTGTTTCCTTTTCTGTAGCAGTCAGATTTTGAACACAAACATTTAACTCACAGTTTTCTTCACCGTTGCCGTCTCCACAGTCATCAGTGAAGTCACACACGGAGGCCTTCTCCACATACGACCCCTGACCACAGGGGAACTCTTGATCCAAACAGGTGGTGACAAAGGCCGAGTTAAACACCACGGTGAGGAGAAATCGCAGCAACATCAGACGTGATAATTCCATCGGCGGGTTCTTCTTTCATCCACAACTCCTTATTTCTAACACCAAAACCAGCATTTTGCTTTCTAGATTTGAGGACGAAGCGTTGGCAATGATTTTCCTCGCCGTGAGCTGAGATATGACTGATCCTGTTCGTGTGCACGAATAAAGAGCAATAAATGACTTTTATGGCTGTTACTCAATAAGGTGGGAGTGAATCCATGTGGTCACAAGAGAAAAAAACAAGATGAAATCTTTATTTAAATGGATGTAAGCTAAATATAAGCAAATACATATGCACTGTAAAAAATTAAATGTTGAATTTATATAACCAAGTCATGTAAACTGGTCCCTCTAGTTACTTTAACACAACAACATATACCAATGCATTTTATTCTTTACATTTGAGCTGCTAGGTTCAGTGGAACCAGCTAACTAATTTCAACATTTCATTTCTTGGGGAGTGCAGAGTTTAAATAAAATGTAACGATAACTCAGCTTAAAACTCACGCTTCTGTCATGTTTAATAAAATCTAAATTCTACATTGTAATTCAAAAAGTTACACTTAAAGGGACAGTGTGTAGTTTTTATTGTTAATCTCAGAATATATCTGTCAAAATATTTGGCGGCTTCTTAATATTTAACTATAAAAATCAGGTCTAAAATACACAGGAGCGGGTCTTGGGCTACGTTCACACTGCAGGCAAAAGCGCATTAGATGTTGTACAAATGTCCTTGTTGCATTTTAGTCACCAAGTGTTTTAACTGTGCATTAATTTGTTTGTTAACAATTTTTTATTAGTTAGCTTTAATTTTTTTTACATGCTCTCATTTTGCACCATTACATGCTCTCATTTTGCACCAGTCTCCTCCTGGAATGTGAGATTCTGTCACGATTTTAGTCACCAACTCCGCCCAAAGTTGTTTTGCT